CTTTAAAATAACAGATGATTCCATCCAGGACCTGTTTCTTACAACCCTGTGAGGTAGTCCAGGGCAGGCATTTAGCACATTAGCACGCACACACACACACACACACACACACACACACACACACACACACACACACACACACACACACACACACACACACACACACACACACACACACACACACACACACACACACACACACACACACACACACACACACACACACACACACACACACACACACACACACACACACACACACACACACACACACACACACACACACACACACACACACACACACACACACACACACACCACACACACACACACACACACACACACACACACACACACACACACACACACACACACACACACACACACACACACACACACACACACACACACACACACACACACACACACACACACACACACACACACACACACACACACACACACACACACACACACACACACACACACACACACACACACACACACACACACACACACACCACACACACACACACACACACACACACACACACACACACACACACACACACACACACACACACACACACACACACACACACACACACACACACACACACCTTTGTGGATAAAAGCAGCAGCTGATGAACCAGTGGTGGAATCTCCTGCAGGTCCAGCTTAGTGAGCATCCTCAGGACTTTCTCCACCAGAAACTGCAGCTCCTCTGATGACAGGGGTACATCCCTAAAATGTGTGACACAAAAACATGGTTTATAAATGTTGCATGTCCTGAGAGGCAGCACAACAAGAGTAATAGCAGAGAAAACATTGCTATGTCACTGTAGAACTTTATAAAAAGCAAAAAAGAAACATACGGTTCTTTAACAGACGTATTAAAGAGTCTGAAATGTCTGAGAATGTGACGCTCTGATAGCCAAAGGTTTTACCTGAACATGGTCGTCAAGTGGATGACACATTGCGGGTCCCATCTGCAGGAAAAGAGATACACACATCCAATAATTGCAATACTGTTGTTTAAGGTCCCATATCAAAAGGTTTTGGCTTAACTATTTTTTATCAGAACAGAGAGTGCCTTCATTTTGTTACATTGTAAATACTGTCAAGAACCCCAAAGAAACTTGTGTAAAATTGCACATGTGAATACCTGCTGGAGCACAGGCTGTTGATCAGCTGTTTCTTGTACTCCTCCCCACTGAGCTCACCTACAGTTATGATAAAATAACAAGCAACCGCAAGAGAAACAGATTTGTCATATTTAAAATGTCGTATATTACACAACTAACTAATAAATCACAAAGTTACCAGGGCTACCAATTTGCACATACCTTTTCCATAGGACAACGCTTCACAGGCTGAGAGGGCAGTCAGCACAGTCGGAAAAAGCTCCAGGGATTTCCCACTGCCCATTTTTCCCACCTTAATGGCTTCAACAAAAAGAGAGGCCAGTTTTGCAAGAGAGGGTCCGGGCAGAGTATGAGTCTGTGAGAGGCAAAAATAGAAATTAGACAGATGCTGGACAAATTGAAAGGCATGGAGACACAATATGTAGGGACATTTTTTAAATCTAAAAAACGCATACACAGATGGGACAGCAACTCAGCACAGGAGTCAAGCATTTATATTTTGGATTAAAATGTATAAGAAATAGAGGAAGGTAGAGTAATTCGGCATGTTCCCAAACAATGTGGTTTTAATCAGTAGGTTTGGTGAAAGGATATTTTAGTCTTATGTTGATGATGTATCAATCGACGTTTCAGTCGGTTTTTTTGCAGTGCAGAGAGCTTGTAACAGACATTAGAATTGAGAGGTTTTTATTTAACTTCTCATTGAAGGACTAACACGTGAAAACACAATCTGGACAGTTTATTTAACATTATTGATCTAATTTTCTATGGGTCAGCAGTAACACAATTGGTAGGGACTTGGCTTGGTTACCGTAGGGTCGCCGGTTCAAGTCCCTGAAAATACCAAGTACAGAGTGTGAACTAGTACATGCCAGTCCACCTACTGGACATACATTAATAGTAATAGTAGCATGCTGGTGTCTTGTATAAATAGATGCTCTATAAAAGCAGAATATATCAACTTTTTTGTACCTCCAGCATCAGCAGTCCAATGATATCAGCTGCCACTTCAGTCTGAAGATCCCCAGACTCACACAGAGGGATGCAGTGTTGATAGACAAGAAGTCTGCGGGTAGATCCTTCAGTGGAACTGGATGGAGAGCCTAAACAAATAGCACACAATAGAGGTATTTTAAAATGATGTTGAATGCTTCTTAATACAGATATGATAGTGTTAGCCTAGTAGTTGTGTTGTGGACATTTATTCTACTTGTGTATTTAATTAACCTACCTTTAAATATGCCTTTTATCATGGTTCCGACCTTCTTACCCTTTAGGGCACCATTCGTTAACACGGTGGTTAGCTAGAAAGCAGACACAACAGAGGGAAGTGTTTCGTAAGCAAACCGACACTGCCAGAATTATTTGCAACTATATTTATAACTTTAAATATGGTGGGCAACTTAGCTTTACCTGGTCATTTGAGAGGGACGACAGGTATTTCTGAAGTTCGACGGTTCTGTCTCCATCTGACAGACTGACGATTTTATCCATGTCATCCTTCATGATTAATCTGTAAAAAAAAACACAAGAGCACGGTAACGTAAACGTAGAGATAGGAAGAAATCATCCGTTGTTGTGTACATCAGCAAGCTTGTTGTTACTGTAGCAAAATGTTACATTTGATAAACTAAATGGACAAATTACAAGTGTGTTACCTCTATTTGTCGTTAAGCTTAATTTGATCTTGTACATTCGATTTAATTCAGTGAACTAGCTAACTAGTCCATGAAAAGACAAAGCCAAACCTTCAGCAGTTGTGATACTACGCTTTCATAACATGCAACGAATTTCCCGCCAGCGATCACTTCCTGTTTTCCTTCATGGTTGCCATGTTCGGCTCACAGTATCCCACAATTGCAGTTTTTGTTAACGTTTTCAAAACAATATTAATGAATGCCGTAAATTACGAGAAAAAAAACACAACATGTCTTAAAGTATAAAAGGATCGCTACCTCTACATTTGCACAGCTCTCCACTTTGTACAATGATAATACTGCAACATTTTAAATTGTTGCGAATATTTCATCATATGTTACTCTTTTTTATTTTGTTTTGTATATTTGTATATTTTTTAGAAATATTCCTCTATATTTTTGATGTTCTAATAGTTTTTAAAATTGTGTTTTTTAATAGCTTTACTTTTGGTCATTTTCTTACAATTTAACAATGTAATGTCTACTTACTATGTATACTATACTATACTTACTATGTACACACCAAAGCAAATTCCGTGTAGGCTATGAGACGACCCACTTGGCCATACACCTATATAAATATATCTGTATAAATTCCAGTTAAAATATAACATCTAGAAGCAGGTGCTGTTGTGTTTATTGTTGGCATGTCATTGTATGTTCTTTAATAAATATACATATCTTGCAGTATTATCTTGAACACTTGGTGGCGGTGATTAGCTGCACATGGGTGTATCAATGGGGGCATTGGTAACAGGGCTTGGTTGTTTCTTTTGGCTTTTCTTTACTAGAACCGTTCGTTTTGATTATTCACGAAGATCAGCTGGAAATAAAAATCATTTATGATCTAAAGATCTCCGCCTCGGGCTAGTGGCGCAACGGATAACGCGTCTGACTACGGATCAGAAGATTCTAGGTTCGAATCCTGGCTAGCTCGAACTTTTTCACTGTCAATCCATAACTTGAGAGGCAATCTTCTTGTATTGTTAACAACATTTATTCCGATAATAAACCAGTAATATGCCGCCCCACCTACCATAAATTGTACAAAACGATTAACTTTAGTGGGTAAATCAATCAAATATCAAACCAACGAAACATACACGGACCGCTTTTAAGACACGATGCAGACTCGCTGTTGAAGGGCCTAATTACCCGTAGTTAAGTTAGTCCTTTACATTCGCTGTGTAATGTCATAAACAGGCAGGTTAGTTTGTCAGATATTTCGACGTTACATTGACATTACATTATAATAGAGTAGTTTGGGTATTCTCAAAACCGCTTTCGTAAAACAAGCTATAACATGCACTGATGGGTAGCTAAACCGTTTCGCTAGTCGTTAGTAAAACGTTACTGAACAACAATGCTGTTTACTACAAAATATATCAATATATATAAAATAAGCGAATTTATAAACGTTTACAATTTCTGTAAATGATGCACTTCATTTCGTAATGTTGGGAAGAAAAGTAGGCTACTCTCGCTCGCCGGTATCCGCCGAGTCGCCTAACATTTGGAGACGCGGATTGGTCAATTCTTGGTAGCGATTCGAGCGCTGATTGGACATACATCACAATTCTTGGTAGAATCTTGGTAGCAGTCGGGAACGTGATTGGCTGTCACTACCAAGAATGAGCTCGATTCACAGGTGGTAGGCAACGGAACTCGTGCAGCGTGTACGTTTCTTTTAATAGCTCTATGGGAGGATCCAATAAAGCTAGCCAAATGTGCTAATTGTGTAATTTAAGGGAAAATATATATGAAAACAAACCACTAAAGTATTTAAAAAATGTGCGAGTTATACTTCTTAATTAAATACAAAATAAAGTAGGCCTAATCAATTTAAAATAAGGTCCTTTATTATGGAGAATTAGGGGTTTACTGTGTGTGTCTGCCAGGCGCGTCTGGCTATGTATTTATGCATAATACTTTATGTAAAACGTACTGTTTGAAGTACGTGTGCAATTATGATATATTCCCCACCAAAGCATACGGTGCAGAAACATTCTTTAAATCTGGACCTTTTGAAGCTTTTTTGAGCTAATAAGGGGAGGGTGATAAAAGCTGCCAACTACAATAGGGCTTGTATCATTTCATTCGATAGTGATGTAAGGCAGGGGTAAGATAAGTTGCTACGCTGTTTACGTGCACTGACGTGACGTCGGGAGGAATGTCTCTGCCCATGCTCACAAGGACAGGAGCAGATGAGCCAGACTGCTGCAGCTGATAAATGTGATGTAATGTTGTCTGTTTAGTGAATACGAATGGCTGTCTGTGCCAGGCTCTGCGGAGTGGGTCAGTCGCGGAGGTGTCGGCGGCGGCAGCGGCAAAACCAGCAGGGTCAGGGGAGTGATTCTGACATGGACGAGGAAGAAGAGGAGCGGATCGTGGGGCTGAAGCAGAGCGACGCTGTCGGCGGCGGAGGCCCGGAGAGCGGAGCCGCCACTGCAGGGCCGAGTGACGCTTGCGAAAATGGCAGCGGTCATGTCAACAGAAGCTCTCTAGATAGAACGAGCACGGGGCCTCAACACCCGCAATCATTAGCGGAGTTACCCCCGGAGCTTTTAGTGGAAACGTTCTCCTTGCTTCCTGGAACTGCACTACCGAATGTCGCCCTCGTATGCAAGAAATTCAGACAAATCCTTAACACTGAAACCATCTGGAGAAGGCGGTGCATTGAAGGTACACATAGCTATTAGTGGACATAGAGATACTTTAACGTTATAATGCTAGAGTAAGCGTTGTATTATGTTAACATACATTGACCAGGACATATGATATTTCATTTTTGTCGACAGGTTATTTGTCTCAGGCTCGGTGGCCATGGGAAATGTGTTCCCCTAAAAGCATTTCTATTGATCTGTACGGGAACCGCAAAGAGGGAATAATCAGTGTCTGCATCTTTAGTAAAGTGCTGCTGTAAGACATATACTATGGCCTCTTATATAGGGCCAGCCATTCTCTGCAGCCGAAGAGACTGTTGATGCAGGGCGGTGCTAACCGTTTGGGGGCCTGGTGCATTGTTATGATCACCACCCCCAGCCCATGTTGTTAGTCAGGGGACTGCACTATTGCAGGTTTGAACAACTATGTCTCATAGTCATAACTCATACATAATAAGATATGCATACAATGCAAAATATGAAGATGCGCTGCTAAAACAAAAAATAAATAATACAAAAACACTTTTTTTCCAATCTATTCGTTTGACGAAAGTAGTGGGCAGTGCCAAAGTTACTCTATTATGACATGTAAGATATTTATTGCGAAATACTTTTTTGGGTAAATCAAACAAGAAGTTATTAATGGACAACATAACCACACAAAGATACATATTGTCAGCTTGCAGATCTGCTCATTAATGTACAACATTGCCCACAAAAGTTAATCAAACGTAATTGGATGAGATAAGATAAGATGTACCTTTTCAGGAGTTTAAAGCAACAACAGAGTGACACTGAAAAACAGTACAGATTCACACAAGGATAATAAAATATAAAATAACATTATATAAGTAACAGTTACAATTAGATATCACAACAAGGTAAAACGTTGATAATTTGAATGAACATATATTTGTTCCACTGCTCTTCGTTTAGTGCTACAACATCAATCAGAGTTAATCTGACTGTTGCTATTATTAAGTGTTGAGATTTTGCATTAATCTGCCGTAATAAATAAACACGTTGTTACAGATACTTTGAAATAATAACATCAACAAATGAAATGTATTGTATATGTTAATCGGATATTTTCTCTTGCCTTCTCTTTTTGCAGAGTTTGGAATGAAGGAGGATCTGAGGAAGATGGAGGTGGAAGGAGTATCTAGCCGGGACATTTATGTTAAACGTGAGTTGGACTGATTGATAAAACAGCTCTCATGTCACCATTGAAATGAACTAATTAAGTATTTGGTTCATTTCTACATTGGTTAGTTAGTAAAACATTTCTGATCATTTATTTACAATACAACACATTGTGTATCTCTTAACCACATTAAAAGTGGTTAAGTGATACTAGATCATTATATAAAAAACAATAATAAAATAAATGTAGGCTGAAAACAGAGCTTAAAGGTAGGGTAGGTAATTCACTTCAGAAACACTTTTTGTTATATTCCATGGAATGATCTTAACATCCCGATAGCAATGAATATATTAAATGCTTTGACAATAAATACATTAAAACATCTGTGGAAGCCGTAGCACTGTAAAAAGCACGACCAATCATTTTAGCCTTCTTCTTCTTCTTCTTCTTCTTCTTCTTCTTCTTCTTCTTCTTCTTCTTCTTCTTCTTCTTCTTCTTCTTCTTCTGCTTCTTACTTCAGATACTTAATTTGTTATCATTTCCTTTTTGCCATTATCAGACAAAAATGTATTGTCCTGATATATTTATTGTGCATCCCCATTAATAATTCTCCTCAGCGCTGTTTGCTTTCATATTAAGTGTGAAATGGGAGGCCAGATTATTTGGTGTGCTGTGTGTTGTTGGGACTGGCTGACAGGAGCGTGGTCAGTCCCTTTCTTCCTTTTGGGTCCCCATCTGGACAGACATTAAACTGACATTTAAATCTGCAGACTCTAACATAACCTCTTGTGTTTGTAACCCTGTGCACGGTGTAGCTCGTAGTAAAGCATGGGTGTTGCATTTCAGAAACTGATGAGTGTGGTGTGATGTTGTGCTCTTGTGTTGCAGTGCTTCACCCATACAGACAGATCTTGGGCTTATGGCAGCCTGACATAGGGCCTTATGGCGGATTGCTTAACGTTGTGGTAAGTAATGTTCCTCAATTGAGACGTATGCATTAAAAAGATAATAATCAGTGTGCACTTTGTTGCTCTCTTTTGAAATAAGTCGTTTATAATGCAGCAATAGTCAGCTTTTAATCTCCTGTCAGGAAATGTCTTTAACGGCTGATACATTATTAAAGGAATTTTCACGGGCCACAGGAGAGCTCTGGTTGAAGCTGGTGGTTTTATATGCTGCAATACGCAGGTTTCACTCAAGCTTGCAAAACTATCAGAGAATATCATACCCTCTGTCTACCTCCTTTCAACACTGCATCTATCAATAAAGGCACTCTGGCCCCACCGTTTATTTTTAAATATTTTTTAAATGTCCACTCAGGTTGATGGGCTGTTCATCATCGGCTGGATGTATTTACCTCCTCATGACCCACGGGTGGAGGATCCCATGAGAAGACGGCCACTCTTCCGTATCCATTTGTGGGAGAGCAAAGAATCCACTGTGGAGTGTATGTATGGACACAAGGGTCCCCACAAAGGAGACATACAGGTGAGGGATTACCCAGCACAAAAGCTTCTCTGTGCACCAAAGAAATGTGCAGCTCTACATACTCTGGATATTTGTGTAGTTTTCCTCATTCAGTTAAATGTTGGATGTAAATAAAAGCATATCGTATTTCAAATATTTGTCATATTCTGTTAATTTCAGACTGGGAAGAAGGATGAATTTTCAACAAAGTGTAGCCAAACTGATCACCACCGCATGCCAGGGGGCAGACAGGAGGTAAGGAAACTGTTTGTAGCTGAAACATGTTCTTACTCATGTTGCCCATGTGTTTAAACCTCATGTACTTTATATTGTTGATATTGTTGAAATGTAAAGAATGTTTTCAGCATTTTACTGATTCCTCTAATGTGTGTGTGCGTGTAGGAGTTCAGGACATGGTTGGAGGAAGAATGGGGCCGGACGCTAGAAGAAATCTTCCATGAGCACATGCAGGAGCTCATCCTGATGAAGTTCATTTATACCAGTCAATACGAGTATGAGTCTCTACGTTAAACTAGTAGCTGTTATAAGATAAACAATAATTACAACAATGGTTTATGGGTGAATAAATAACCCATCAATTGAATTCAGCCCTGGCTAAACATTGAAAGCTATATGGTGCTACATATTTTTGAAGACCTACAGTTAAAGGTGGGGTAGGTAAGTTTCAGAAACCGGCTCGAGATACACTTTTTGTTATATTCCATAGAATGCTCTTAACATCCCGATAGCAATGAATATCTGAAGTGCTTTGACAAAAAATCCATAAAAAAATGTCATCTGTGGAACCCGTAATACTGTAAAAAGTACAACCAATGCGTTTAGCCGGCCCGGCTAAACCGATTGGATTGCCGCCCTGTCTGTCAGCCTTCCATCTTGTGCACGCACAAATGTATCTCGTGCCCTCATTGGGCGTGCATTGCAGCAGTACTTCAATGACTCGCCAGCAACAGGCGGCCACTTTCACCAGTCTGATGACGTCATGTGCGCGTTCATGTGTGTTGGAGGAGGTGCTCTGTAAGGAAGTCTCAAGGAAGGGGCGGATTCTTTTCGGCTGTGTACTTTCAAATTTTAGTGCACTCGAGCCGGTTTCTGAAACTTACCTACCCCACCTTTAAATAGTAGCAAAAGTCAGACTGAATTTGTATCTGCTTTGTTTTGACAGTAACTGCTTGACATACCGAAGGATCTACCTGCCGCCTACAATGCCTTCTGACCTGCTGCGCCCAGGCCTCTTCAAAGGCACCTACGGCAGCCACGGTTTAGAGATCGTCATGCTCAGTTTCCACGGGAATTCTGCAAGAGCCACCAAGCTCACTGTAAGTAAATCTCCTTACTGGACGGTTTTCTGCCTAACAGAAATCAAATCAAGTTTTATTTATATAGCACATTTATAAACGATTTTTGGTCGAGCCAAAGTGCTGTACATATAATAAAAATAGCCTACAGTAGAGACACTTTACAGCAAATACAACAGCACAGATTGTTCAGAATATCAGTATGAGAAAAACGACACCCTCTATCCTTAGACCCTCACGCAATGCCCTCATGCAAGTGATTAGTGTCTGGCAATTTATCAATTTTATATCATTATTGTAATAACAGACTAGATATTGTGTTCCTTACAGACAAGTGATAACATTTATGAACTTACAGTCTGCTGTAAAATATGATTAATTATCAACAATCCCACTGTGTAAACATTGTGAAAACGTCTACCGTCAACGTTTTCGCCTATATCTACTTGTCTTTCATCATTTCTTTATAACTAATGCTTTTGATGTATTGTGATTTTAAGGGTGTCTTTTATTATCTGGCTGGGGACAACAGCTGGAAATTAGCAATGTTGGCTAAAGCTGCCCCATTGACTTTTTTTTGACAGTTGATTATGGGGGCTGTCCACGACACTATAAACCAATAAACTAAACTAAACAACCCTACAATACATTTGCATTATCTTTGGTTAAAAATATCATGATATTTGATTGATTCTTTATATCATTCAGCCTTAGGCCCCGGCCACACGAGGACGAAAACGGCTAAACGCATAGGATTAACGCAAACGCAATCGCAAAAACGCTTCCGTCCACACGCAATATTCACCGGATAGTGTCTGTCCTGGTCTGTCCACACGAGACAGCTCCGTTTAGCTCTAACCGCTGGAGAAGCTGCAGTAGGCTACATATGCAGGAGCCTGTACGTGGCGCTGTAACTTCCTCCACAAAAGCAGCGAAGAAGCATGGTTGTCATGGTTGCCCTTCTGTTTATTCTCCGCGGTGGGGGCCGAGGGAACCGGGCAGAGTTTTTTGCCAGTCAACGTGTATTAAAGTTGAAATCTTCCGACAAAATTATAAAAGTGCCGGTCAAAGGTCTTCTTTGTTATTTATTGAGCTTTAAAACAAATGAATAACGAATCTATATATTATAATAATAAAAATACACCTCTCTACGCCTCTCTTTTTCCTCCCTCTCGTGTGGCCGAACGGTCTATATGACAGTAACGCAAACGACCGTTTTCGTCCTCGTGTGGCCGGGGCCTTAATGTTGATTTTCTATGGATGAATTATTGTCCCTTTTTAAATGTACTCTCACTCCTATCCTCCCCTTCAACATCTATTCTTTTATTATTTTTAACAGACACTCCCACAAACCAAGTGCCTTTTTGAGTTGAACATTCACACAATTCTGACCAAGAGGATATCATGTTAACCCACAGAATGAGTCGGCTAGTGTTTCAAATTATAATTGTACTCCTTCCTGCAGGGAGACCCCAATGTTCCTGCAGGGCAGCTCACTCTGGATGTTGACCTGAGTCGACCTGTGGTCCTTCCAGAATTAAAGCATCAGCGCAATATAGAGGAGCTGTCCCGGCTGGTACTGGGGGTACACGAGGAAGTCCAGAGGGCACAACAACAACAACAACAACAACAACAGGCCATGGACACTGCTACAGCGGAGGGGGCCTGCAGTGATGTCACCGCAGCAGGAGGTGTGGAGGCAGAGCGAGTTACCGGTACAGACAGCCCCCCGCCGGAGCCCAGCAGCAGCATCAGTCCTCCTGAATCCCAGCCCTTCGTCCTGCCCCTCGGCGTTATGGCTCGCAATGAGGTCTACCCTCGCACCTGCAGGAAATGGTAAGAACTCAGCTGTATGGTAAACTGCATACAGTGTAAATTCCAAGTATATGTGGATTGATTGTAGCTGCCTTTGCTCCAGTTACAGTGGTGTAAGACACAGTGTGCCTATTGTTTCAGATTGTGGCCAACAGGCTGAAATCATATTGGCCTCCAATGAATGCTTGTCAGTATGTTTGCTAAATGTTTGCTACAACAATTTGGTTTGATAAAAAAGCACATCCAGAATTGTAGACAGTTTGTCTATTGTACTCAAATGTACAGGCTAAAAAAACATTTATTTCATAAGTTTAAACATTTGTTTAAGATGTGTTTAGATATAATAAACACAGACACATTACAATGGAAACATATGAGATATATAAATGGATTTTAGAGTAAAGTAAACTTGTGTAAAAGTCCACAGCCATTTAGTGTATTCATCTATTTATCACATGATACATTTAACAGGCGCTGTGAAAGATATTACATACCTGGACCATGATATAGCACTTTTTACTTTTTTCTTCAAAACCTGTAATTGATTAAAGTAACAAAAGAAGGTATTGCAACATATGACAATACAGTCATTTATATGGGGCTCAATTAAAGACTTGTGATATTGGCTTCTGCAATTATCTGCCACATGCATTCATCTTTATTTTATGGTTTTGTAGTACCATACCATAACCACCCTAAAAAAACTTTGACAAATACAATTCTGATAGGTAAAGCTGCAAAAATGAGCTGATTTATAGATTAGTAAATCTGCAACAATCTTGATAATCGATTAAATTATAGAGTAATTTTTCTATTCAAATCAGAAATGGATATATGAAGTTTTTCTGCCTTTCTGTGTTTTCTGTTGCATTAAACCGATTAACTATGGGTTTGACTGACTGATCAAACATTTAGAGAAATGACCTTAGACTGCAAGATACTTGGAAGGGTTTTCACTATTTTCTGACATTCAATATTATCATCATTTTTACGAAAAAAACAAAAATAATAATTTGTGATATTATTAGTCATAAAGTCGAATAAAGCATTCCTTAGCATTATCTGCTATTGATTTCTGTACTCACAGTTTGATACATTGAGATTGATGTCCTATGTAGTGTCCTGTCCTGTGGCTTTTCTCTGGAAGTTTTTCCTTGTACGATGTGAGGGTCTAAGGATAGAGGGTGTCGTTTTTCTCATACTGATATTCTGAACAATCTGTGCTGTTGTATTAGCTGTAAAGTGTCTCTACTGTAGGCTATTTTTATTATATGTACAGCACTTTGGCTCGACCAAAAATCGTTTATAAATGTGCTATATAAATAAAACTTGATTTGATTTGTAGTAGTGATTGATTGATGTTTTTCCATTTCAGCTTCTATGGAACAGGCCTGATCGCTGGGCACGGCTTCACCAGTCCGGAGCGCACCCCGGGGCTCTTCGTGCTTTTCGATGCAGACCGATTTGGTTTCATCTGGTTGGAGTTGAAGTCTTTCAGTCTGTACAGTCGCCTGACGGACAACCTAGCTCATTCTTACGCCCCGAACATGGAGCGATTTGAGGCCATGCTGGGCAACATGCAGTCCTGGACATCCTGATGCACGATGTTTTTAGTCTCGCCCCACAATACAATGCATAATAACAACCAGTTGACACAAATCACCTCTGTCCTCAGCTGACAGAACATCATATCACGATAGCTCATGACCTTAACTCACGTTCTATCTATATGTTTCACAAACATGGGTCTAATTAAGCTAGTTATGTCACCTCATTTATTGTATCAGTTCACCTCAGTATGACCTTTATCCTCCAGTGCACAGGTCAAATATTAACCTTTATTAATTTATTCCCTGCAGGAGAAAAATGATAACTCGTACCACTTATAAAGGATCAAACTGTACGTGCCTCTGATTCTAAAACCACGTCTGTACTTGATAGTGCTTGAAGACAATAAAGGTGTCCAATGTATTCTACTATATAACATTATAGTGATTTCAGTGCCCAACATGTTTAACTGCATGTTGCTTTTTGTTTGGATCTTATCGCATCTCACTCATAACTTTAATCTTAACAAGATGTTTTATTTTCATTGAGCAGCATGCCTTGATTTTAATTTTGTTTTGCTTTTTAAAAAAATGACAGCTTCTCAGGTGTTTTTCTCTTGGCCAGAAGTCAGTGAAAAGCAGGACTTGAGTATTTATGTGTATAAAAAAAATGTATGTAGTTTTCATTCATTTTAGCATTTTCTCCAATAGAAATACTTTTCTAACAATTGACAAGAGAGCATTTGTCATCAAACACTGTAGCTACATCAGGCAGTTTTGCCCTTTGAACTTAAGAGATAGAGATGTGCTCCTGCTTTTGGTTTGACATCAAACATACCTTTAATGTCACCTCATTTGACATAGTATTATGTAAGTTGGAAAGATGTATTGTACTGCAATAGAATAACATTACCTATACATAAGCTGATCACAAATGAAACAATTATACAGTTTTGTGCTTATATAAGGATGGTTTAAATCTTCTCTTACCTTTTAAAATGTATTGCGTTTGTTTAAATGGCTGACGTAATGTTTGCCTGGCTTTATACCTGCAAAGCTATTCCTCCAGTTTTCCAATTCGTTTTGAACTTGATTCCAGACTAACTGAACATTATACAAATAGCTCAAAGTGCATCTCAAAGAACCAAGTAAGTGTTTGTGTGTCTCATTACGGCCTGAAGGTGTTGCCCAGTAGCTTTCTTACCCCAAGTGCACTTTTCTGGGCAGTAATGCGAAACATTTAAAACCACTGGCCAGCACTTTTATATCAGACTGCTGCTTTACTAACATTTGCGAAAAATAAATGGTCTGCTAAAGCATTGTCGACTTAAATGTATTTAGTTTTATTAGTTTCCTCTCAATTGTTTTGTTATGTCTGAACACCCTCTGTACTCTGCTATTTGAATGATTTGCCTTTGGAAAATGTGTTGCTTTGTACTATTTTCAATGCGATACACCTGTTTTTGTTGAAAATGAATGGCCTATTGAACTGCTCACATGGGACTTCAGGGAGCTTTTCAGCTTGAGCGCTCTTCTCTGTAAAAAGATAATAAAAAAACCAGAAAAAAAACCTTTTTTTGTAGACTGTATTTCTTCTTTGGTCTCATGTTCACCTTTCATACCTCAGTGTTGGACATATCACACCGTGTTCGTGTTTCTTGGTGCGAATTGAGAATAAAAACGGCTTGAAATAGTAATGAGTGAGGGAAACGGACACATGATTCAGTACAATGTTTCACACTGCAGCTTCAGAAGAGTTTTATTTGATATGGGAATCCAGATTATTAAGTGCATTTCACAGACTAGAAGTATCCCACTAATTAAGGAGGCATTTCTTTTCAAGCTTCTACATTTTAAAGAAGTATTGCCTGAAACTATCTAAAATAAAAGGTTATTACCCAACATTAAACATTTCAGTTAAATTGTGTAATTTGAGGATCTCCTTCCCAAGTTTATTAAAATGCAGAGTGCTTTTTATAAGCCACAGATCACCGCAAAAATGTTGATTGTATCAATGAATATTATGCAATGCCTTTTGACTGACTTTTTAACACTGGAATCAGAAAATGATGGAGAGGAGAAAGGTGGCGGAGACTGTTCTACAACTCGTTGCGCTCCATCTTCTCTTTGTGTTGTCGGATCTTTTCTGGGAGAGTCTGAGTCAGGAAGACAAACCGCTTCTCCCTAAGGCGCTGGCCAGCTACCTGCTCCTTTAAATCAATTGACAAGTATTCTTCTCCTGTGCCGTACTTTGGCCAGTGGGCCAGCCCATCCCCATTAGGAGACCTTAACAAACACACACAATCACAGTTATAAAAACAATCTTATCTCCATGTGTTTAGTATCTTGTAACAAAGGTAAATTCCTACCCTGTGCGAGCAAAGTTGCTCCAGTAGCTCATCATTTTTCTGCTAAGCTGTTCGTCCTCCTCAGTGCATGGCTCTAAAATTGGGATAATCTGTTAAAACACTTTGGAGATCTCTGGTGGTCTATTCAAATTGTGATTTATATATTTAACTTACCGGGTAATGTGACATGGGTAGTTGTAAAGCACAATCCAAGAACTGTAAAGATCTCATCTCCGTGGTCACTCCCAACAAAACTTGGCCTTCTTGACTTCAGGATTTGTGGAGGGTACTGGTACTCATACAGGTATACATCAGCACCTGCATCTATGAATAAAAGGATTGGACATGAGATATTTAGTTTTTAAAAGTGTATGGCAAGAAATATTTAACAATGGTTCCTCAAAATATTTGCATGATAAATACCTCTGTGGGCAATAGCGGTCTTAATGGCAGGAATGTTCAAAATCATATCCCCTAACAGCTCGGTGAACCCGTCTCTATTCTTCACACGATCTTCACCCGTTCCAATATATTCCTCTAACACTAACTCTCTAAGAATTGCATCTTCGGGCTGGAAAAAATGAACAAAACATCTGTCAAAGAAGTTTCAACATGATGTATATTGTAACATTGTAATGTCCAGAACAGTCTGCCTTACATTAGGGAAGAAGAGGTACAGAGAGTTCATCAAATGCTCCTTATCTATCCCCTCTGTCCAGTTTGGAGGAGCAAAAGACTTAGGGAAGACAATTCACATTTTAGATAAGCACAGAGACACCACATTAGCATGTTTTCATGGGCAATTGTTAAGCTCTTCAGTCACATAAACATCAGTGCTAATTTAGCAATTGCACTTACACCAGCAAGCATCCAGCCCCCTTCATCATTATTAATGCCGGTCATGAATGGTACGGTAAGAAGTTCATGTGTACGGAACAGCTCGTCCACAGTTTTTCTCAGGAAGTGTCCATCAACATTTAGAGAGATTCTCAAGGTTTGATCCTTAAGAAAAAAAAATTGTAAAAGTAAAAGTTGAGATAAATACTTAAAAGATCATGGAAATCTAGCAGAATATTCCTATTAAAAATAAATCCTACAAAATAAATCCTACTAAATTATTTGCATTCAATATCTCACCTCTCCCAAAGCCTCAATAGTTTTTACGTCGACGATTCTCATGCAATCAGCGATCTTCTGTGTGCTTTCGAGGCTACAGCCAGACATATTTGCCACCATCTGAGGAGATATATGTGGGATATATCTTAACGACTTTGAAAAAAGAAATGTGTTGTGCGCTGAAGAATGTTTACACACACTTATAATTAACCTGTGCTAATGGTAGAGGATCATTTGCAACAAGAAGATCCATTCCAGCAGTGCCACTCTCAGCAATGGCATGATGGAAGAGGCCATCAGACAACGGTGAGAGGAGCTGTTGAGTCAAGGAACAAAGAACATGTAAGGTTCTGATGACAGAAGTAACTTTGAAGAGATTGTGATGTTTTTGTTGTATTCAACTGCAGATTGATACTTACCAGTAGAGATACGCTCACTCCGCCAGCAGACTCCCCAAATATTGTAACTACATCTGGGTTTCCTCCAAAGTTGTGAATGTGCTGCTGGATCCACCTCAGAGCTTCTACCTGGTCCAGCATGCCAAAGTTCCCAGACATGTGCTCATCTCCAGTGCTGGAAAGGCATACAATTATATTGTTCACCGCCTAGTAAAAGTGACTACTTTTTCACATCAAATCCAAAGTAGTGAGATATTATTTTAGTATGGTAATTCTAACTCTTCTTAGTGATTTGAGTGGTTTTAACCTGAGAAAGCCCAGAAGTCCCAAACGGTACTGGATCAGAACTACGACCATATCCTGGTAAGCAGCCAGGGCGGAGCCATCATACGTGGAAGCTGACCCCATAGCAAACCCTCCACCATGAATCCAGACCATGACCTGGTAAGGTAATGTAAGCCCTTAGACTTTTCAACAAGCAATGAAGGCACATTCTTATCGAGATTCTCGATAAACCACATTAACAAAGACTTTAATATGACTAGATAATAACACAGATTGTGACATCAATCCCTTTGGGGTATGGTTTTAAAAACCCTACATTGTCACTCAGTATGGATTATTCAAAAGGAATCCTTATCCAAACCTGAACAAAGTAACTGAGTATCATTCACGACATGGAGCAACTTACAGGAAGCTTGGTATCGGGGGTTCTGTCGGCAGGAGTGTAAATGTTGAGGTAAAGGCAGTCCTCTGAAATGTCTGGCAAATCCACGACCATGCCACCAAGTTTTTCCAACAGATCTAAGGTTAACTTTTTATATTGAACACACCTGAAAAAGAAACAAGATTTTCAGTGAGTATTGAATATCATTTTAAAGGAAGGTATGCAACACCTGTAGCATGTGGAGGCCTTACATGGGTGGCTGCTTGGTGGCATCTCTCACTTCTTTCCATCCCTCCACAGGCTGGGGGGCAGCCAGTCTCAGAGCAGGGCCCACAGGTGGCTTTGCAAATGGGATACCCAGGTAGGCATGGACCCCATTCTCCTGCCCCTTGACACTCAGAGTCTGACCTCTCAGGCTTCCCAGCTTTGTCTGGACTTCAGGTGCTGTGAGGATATTAGGACTGACTCAGAATCTCAATGTAATGCAATGTATCAGTGTAACTTACCTGGAAGAATAGCATGTGTTATAGCTAAGTAGCACATATATTTCCATCATGTAGGCAACATGTTCATTGGCTGGTTCTAGATTATGTTGGAACAAATAAATGGTAACGTTTTAGATAATACAACAACTTTCCAATTGATTTCAGCCATGTCGAGCCCTAAGGGTGACGTCACGGACACTACGTCCATTTATATACAGTCTAAGATAAGATAAGATGGTACTTTATTGATCCCAATTTGGGAAATAGTTTTTGTTGCAGCAGGGTTGTCAAACTCAAGGCCCGGGGAACAAATCTGGCCTGTGACTTCATTTTCTGTGGCCCCACAAGAGCTTGCAAAGAATATAATATGTTTATTATACGGTTACATGATGATTTAATGAAGCACGTTGCCCATGAACTACATGTCCCACAATGCATCTCAAATTAGACTTTTTTCTCAGAATTTGACTTTTTTTCTTCTAAATATGCCTTTTTCTTAGAATGTGCCCTTTTCTCAGAATTTGACTTTTTTTTTAAATGTCACTTCCTTTTTTTTTTTAAATGTCACTTCTGTTTTTGACTTTTTTTTCCAGCTTTTCTTTTGAAATCATTTTGTGACATTCTCACTGAAGAGACTTGCAATTATTTGCCCCAGACTTCTGCTTTCAGACGTAGTTAATTATGAAGTTATTATACCCTATCCAATAATAATCTAATGCAGAGGCAATAATGTAATATAATACATTATTTTATACATATATTATATATAAGTTACAACCGGCCCTTTGAGTGCAGCCATAATGCTGATGTGGCCCGCGATTAAATTGAGTTTGACACCCCTGGTCTACAGTCTTTAATCTTCTTTGCCATGCTGTTTGTATAACTAAATCAAAAATATAACTCACTTTGGCAACAATTAGTTGAATATCATCTTATTTTGCATTACATGAAGACAGCAAAAAAAAGAAACATTAACTACAGCATGAACTCTTATCCTAATTTGCTCTTTGGCAGAGATGTTTCACCTTTGGACATAGGCACGATCGTCAGTGGCTGAAAGGTCAACTCGATTGAGGCGTAAGAAAATGCAAACCGGTAGCTTCCAGTCATAGACCTTTTAAAAGACATTAAAAGAAAATCAACTTCTCCATTAGGCCTACGTGCCATCTAGACTAGCTTGCAGCCAGATCTGCATAAAAGTGTTGCCACGGACTTTATCGTGCAAAGAAATAAGTAGGCCTAATCTACTTCACTTACCATGTGGATCTGCAGCAACATAGAGGAATAAAACAGACGTCAGAAAGAAGAAAGTTTGTTTTGCACGGAACATGGTCTCTGCTGGTTACACCCTGCTTGGTTCTGCAAACAGGAAGGACTTGCAAACTGTTAATGAAACCTCCAAAGAAGCTGTCTCAACTTTGACGAGTTGAATCCTGCACTTATTAACCTATTACGTGCAACACAAGGCGTGACTCTATCGCTTTTATATCAAAGCAACTGGTCATTTACATCAACAAAAAGACATCGACAAGACTTTCCGGACGGTTAAGCAGGCCATAGTAACTCCAAGCATTTTCTCGTATATTTCACATCCTTCTTTCTGTTAAACTATAACATGATACTACGCTAGTCTGTTCATATTTGAGCTAGGCTTATAAACACTTACTGTCTAAAACTGTCATTTTAACCTTGCATGAGTATAAGTACAGAAATGTTGTTTACACTACAGTGCAATATCTCACACAAGCCACAGATGGCGCTCTCACATAACTGAGTCCATAGAATCACTATTGCACCTGTCACATATCACATTATCTCTATCACGAGAGATAATGTGATATTTGGTATGACCTTGCAAAAGAAAGGCGATGAACTCTGCTGTAATGTTATTTTATGTCTTGCCAAAAATTGTATTCACAAGAATCGAATCCTGAAGTCATCCAGCAAACTGATTGTTTTCTTAAATGAGTTTCAATGGTACCTGAAATCCTTAAAAATACAAAAAGGATCCAAAGCTCAATGTTTATTTAATATTCTGAAAGAATTCCCCACTGATCCGAACCGTACTCATCTCCTTGTATTATATTTCTGTCTTGTTTGTTGTTGTATTTTTTCTTTTTTTACCCCTTTTATGAAAATTACACTGTGAGCACTTTGAACAGTTTTATAGATGATGTCAACGTTGTTTCTCCTAACAATCTTTTTGCACTAATTGAATGTATGAAAAGAGTGTAATGCTTGCAACATTCCAATACATTTTGTAAAATACAAATAAAAAAGTTTGAAAAAAATATGATTAGTTTACACAGTTGACTTAACATACTTATTGCATAATATGTCACCTGTCATGAACTCCCTGCATATCGTAATAATGAACTGTCTTTTCAACCACTAGAAGTAGAACAATAAAACAGTTCTTGCAACATGATTATCCAAATCCAATACGTCTATACTAAAAGAGAACTCCTGTAACTTTCACATTGACTCAAGACTATAGTTCTCAGTGCTCCAAATGCTCTGCAGTAGCACATGAACCACAATATTTAGGCATGTAGTTATAATATGTTTTTTCTTTTAATATATTTATGTACTGAGTTGAGAAGCCACAAAATTCTTACAATAACATAATCACAACGTACATCTTTTCCCAGAAGTAGGTTTAGCGAGGCCATATGCATAATAAACAGGATAAAACAGGTAATCAATTTGATTCCCATATTATAACAATATACATTTTAATCACATATGTAGTGGCTCCTGGTTGTTCACATGAAACATACTGGTACATGATGAGGGTTCAACTCAGGAATGTATAGTTTCAAATCCCAGATGAGTCTTGTCTTTTAATTTGTATTGCACAATGACATGTCTTTTTATGCCACTGCAACACAAACATTTCCCAAATTGGGAGGTGACGGAGACTGTTCTAAGGCTTGTTGCGCTCCATCTTCTCTTTGTGTTGTCGGATCTTTTCTGGGAGAGTCTGAGTCAGGAAGACAAACCGCTTCTCCCTAAGGCGCTGGCCAGCTACCTGCTCCTTTAAATCAATTGACAAGTATTCTTCTCCTGTGCCGTACTTTGGCCAGTGGGTCAGCCCATCCCCATTAGGAGACCTTAACAAACACACACAGTCAGTTATAAAAACAGTCTTATCTCCATGTGTATAGTATCTTGTAACAAAGGTAAATTCCTACCCTGTGCGAGCAAAGTTGCTCCAGTAGCTCATCATTTTTCTGCTAAGCTGTTCCTCCTCCTCAGTGCATGGCTCTAAAATTGGGATAATCTGTTAAAACACTTTGGAGATCTCTGGTGGTCTATTCAAATTGTGATTTATATATTTAACTTACCGGGTAATGTGACATGGGTAGTTGTAAAGCACAATCCGAGAACTGTAAAGATCTCATCTCCATGGTCACTCCCAACAAAACTTGGCCTTCTTGACTTCAGGATTTGTGGAGGGTACTGGTACTCATACAGGTATACATCAGCACCTGCATCTATGAATAAAAGGATTGGACATGAGATATTTAGTTTTAAAAGTGTATGGCAAGAAATATTTAACAATGGTTCCTCAAAATATTTGCATGATAAATACCTCTGTGGGCAATAGCGGTCTTAATGGCAGGAATGTTAAAAATCATATCCCCTAACAGCTCGGTGAACCCGTCTCTATTCTTCACACGATCTTCACCCGTTCCAATATATTCCTCTAACACTAACTCTCTAAGAATTGCATCTTCGGGCTGGAAAAAATGAACAAAACATCTGTCAAAGAAGTTTCAACATGATGTATATTGTAACATTGTAATGTCCAGAACAGTCTGCCTTACATTAGGGAAGAAGAGGTACAGAGAGTTCATCAAATGCTCCTTATCTATCCCCTCTGTCCAGTTTGGAGGGGCAAAAGACTTAGGGAAGACAATTCACATTTTAGATAAGCACAGAGACACCACATTAGCATGTTTTCATGGGCAATTGTTAAGCTCTTCAGTCACATAAACATCAGTGCTAATTTAGCAATTGCACTTACACCAGCAAGCATCCAGCCCCCTTCATCATTATTAATGCCGGTCATGAATGGTACGGTAAGAAATTCATGTGTACGGAACAGCTCGTCCACAGTTTTTCTCAGGAAGTGTCCATCAACATTTACAGAGATTCTCAAGGTTTGATCCTTAAGAAAAAAAATTGTAAAAGTAAAAGTTGAGATAAATACTTAAAAGATCATGGAAATCTAGCAGAATATTCCTATTAAAAATAAATCCTACAAAATAAATCCTACTAAATTATTTGCATTCAATATCTCACCTCTCCCAAAGCCTCAATAGTTTTTACGTCGACGATTCTCATGCAATCAGCGATCTTCTGTGTGCTTTCGAGGCTACAGCCAGACATATTTGCCACCATCTGAGGAGATATATGTGGGATATATCTTAACGACTTTGAAAAAAGAAATGTGTTGTGCGCTGAAGAATGTTTACACACACTTATAATTAACCTGTGCTAATGGTAGAGGATCATTTGCAACAAGAAGATCCATTCCAGCAGTGCCACTCTCAGCAATGGCATGATGGAAGAGGCCATCAGACAACGGTGAGAGGAGCTGTTGAGTCAAGGAACAAAGAACATGTAAGGTTCTGATGACAGAAGTAACTTTGAAGAGATTGTGATGTTTTTGTTGTATTCAACTGCAGATTGATACTTACCAGTAGAGATACGCTCACTCCGCCAGCAGACTCCCCAAATATTGTAACTACATCTGGGTTTCCTCCAAAGTTGTGAATGTGCTGCTGGATCCACCTCAGAGCTTCTACCTGGTCCAGCATGCCAAAGTTCCCAGACATGTGCTCATCTCCAGTGCTGGAAAGGCATACAATTATATTGTTCACCGCCTAGTAAAAGTGACTACTTTTTCACATCAAATCCAAAGTAGTGAGATATTATTTTTGTATGGTAATTCTAACTCTTCTTAGTGATTTGAGTGGTTTTAACCTGAGAAAGCCCAGAAGTCCCAAACGGTACTGGATCAGAACTACGACCATATCCTGGTAAGCAGCCAGGGCGGAGCCATCATACGTGGAAGCTGACCCCATAGCAAACCCTCCACCATGAATCCAGACCATGACCTGGTAAGGTAATGTAAGCCCTTAGACTTTTCAACAAGCAATGAAGGCACATTCTTAGAGATTCTCGATAAACCACATTAACAGACTTTAATATGACTAGATAATAACACAGATTGTGACATCAATCCCTTTGGGGTATGGTTTTAAAAACCCTACATTGTCACTCAGTATGGATTATTCAAAAGGAATCCTTATCCAAACCTGAACAAAGTAACTGAGTATCATTCACGACATGGAGCAACTTACAGGGAGCTTGGTATCGGGGGTTCTGTCGGCAGGAGTGTAAATGTTGAGGTAAAGGCAGTCCTCTGAAATGTCTGGCAAATCCACGACCATGCCACCAAGTTTTTCCAACAGATCTAAGGTTAACTTTTTATATTGAACACACCTGAAAAAGAAACAAGATTTTCAGTGAGTATTGAATATCATTTTAAAGGAAGGTATGCAACACCTGTAGCATGTGGAGGCCTTACATGGGTGGCTGCTTGGTGGCGTCTCTCACTCCTTCCCATCCCTCCACAGGCTGGGGGGCAGCCAGTCTCAGAGCAGGGCCCACAGGTGGCTTTGCAAATGGGATACCCAGGTAGGCATGGACCCCATTCTCCTGCCCCTTGACACTCAGAGTCTGACCTCTCAGGCTTCCCAGCTTTGTCTGGACTTCAGGTGCTGTGAGGATATTAGGACTGACTCAGAATCTCAATGTATTGCAATGTAACTTACCTGGAAAAATAGCATGTGTTATAGCTAAGTAGCACATATATTTCCATCATGTAGGCAACATGTGTTCATTGGCTGGTTCTAGATTATGTTGGAACAAATAAATGGTAAAGTTTTAGATAATACAACAACTTTCCAATTGATTTCAGCCATGTCGAGCCCTATGGGTGACGTCACGGACACTACGTCCATTTATATACAGTCTACAGCAGGGGTGTCAAACTCAAGGCCCGGGGAACAAATCCGGCCTGTGACTTCATTTTCTGTTGGCCCACAAGAGCTTGCAAAGAATATAATATGTTTATTATACTGTTACAGGCGAGTGGTGTAGTGAGTTGTGCATTGGTGTTCGGATCAGGGGGTCACAGGTTCAAACTCCACTGCAGTCAGCATGTTGTTGTGTCCCTGGGCAAGACACTTCACCCCAAATTGCCTGTGGGGATTGTCTACAGTGTTGAGTACAGTGATTCCCACAGCATGTTAATACTTTGGGGGGCCCCCAAAGTATAATGGCTCCCCCCAAAGTATAATTTGTGTGTTCTTTTATTTTTTTTTACTCAGTGAGCACTCATTTGCATTTGCACATCCTTCCTCAGCACCTCCACGTATGTTGGCGTGGGGCGCCCTCTTGGTCGGTGCCCGTGTGTTGGCTCCCAGAGTACTAACTTGCCAGCTGGAAGTTCCTGGTGTCGATGGCAGTGACCTGCAAATTTCAGTTTCCTGGATGCCACCTTGTCACTCAGCCTGGGTAGCCCACCAGGACTAGCCCCGCTCCTACATTTTTGAGAGATTTCTATTTATATATAAATTACAACCGGCCCTTTGAGTGCAGCCATAATGCTGATGTGGCCCGCGATTAAATTGAGTTTGACACCCCTGGTCTACAGTCTTTAATCTTCTTTGCCATGCTGTTTGTATAACTAAATCAAAAATATAACTCACTTTGGCAACAATTAGTTGAATATCATCTTATATTGCATTACATGAATACAGCAAAAAAAAGAAACATTAACTACAGCATGAACTCTTATCCTAATTTGCTCTTTGGCAGAGATGTTTCACCTTTGGACAAGTAGGCACCAGTGGCGAGCCGTGACCTTTATACCTAAATACCCTTCTTTCATTTAACCCTTCACATTCCAACAGAAACTGAATAGGCAGATTCGAAGGATTTATTTCTTTGGAAATGTTATTTTAAATACAATTATATCAAGTTATTTTGGTAAAACTAATGAAAAATATAACTAAAAAAAATATTAAACACATTTTTTTTTTAATGTTTTTAAATATTATTTTGTAGAATATCTTAGGCCCTCACAGAGGGCCTAGAGGGCCCTGACGGCTCGCCACTGGTAGGCACGATCGTCAGTGGCTGAAAGGTCAACTCGATTGAGGCGTAAGAAAATGCAAACAGGTAGCTTCCAGTCATAGACCTTTTTAAAAAGATATTTAAAGAAAATCAACGTCTCCATTAGGCCTGTGCTATTCCAGGCCTATATGCCTTGTAGCCAGATTTGCATACAAGTGTTGCCACGGACTTTATCGTGCAAAGAAATGAGTAATCTACTTCACTACACTTACCATGTGGATCTGCAGCAACATAGAGGAATAACACAGACGTCAGAAAGAAGAACGTTTGTTTTCCACGGAACGTCATGGTGGTGGTGTCTGCGGCTCACACTGCTTGGCTCTGCAAACAGGAAGGACTGGAAATGAAACCTCGAAAGAAGCTGTCTCAACTTTGACCAGTGGAATCCTGCACTTCTTAACCTATTACGTGCAGTACAAGACTGCGGTCAACTCAGCTATCTCTCGCATTTGCTTCGTCAAATGAGCAGCTCTTCCTTTTTGAGTGCGCGATTAATAGCATCTTTACGGTAATCGCCGAGAAGCGGCACTGACGGTAGAACTAGAGTAAAATAATGCATGTTTTTTCTGCTTTATTTGCGATACAACTTTACCATAAGTTCTTAAAAAAACGGACACTGTTTGACTCAGTCCTAGTTTGACTGCTACCAACAATAAAATGAAGTACTTTTACTGAGTTTTTTTCTGGGTTATACCCTCTCAAAATCCGCTCCTGAGAACAAAATCATGCCACTTCTGCTATATTTGATGAGATAAAATGATTTTTTGCAATAAGTTCTACATCAAATTGATACTGTTGGACTCAGTACTACTTGGACTACTACCACAAGTGCAATCAAGTACTTTTACTGTGTACTTTTTGAGTAATCCCCTGTCAAACTCCCCTCCAGAGTACAATAATGCATGTTTTCTGCAATGTTTGATGAGAGATCAAAGGATTTTTTGCAATAAGTTCTTAATACAATTGGTAGCCTACTGTTGGACTCAATACTACTTGGACTACTACCACAAGTACTTTTACTGTGTACTTTTTGAGTAATACTCGTTTAAAATCCTGTCCCGACACTAATTAATGTATTCTGCTATCTTTGATGAGATATAACATGATTGTTTGCAATAAGTTCTTAGTGAAATTGTCAGGATTCGGGAAAGATTGCGGAAAAAGGTAGGACCCAAATGCAGACTACAAAACAAGTAAAAAAGGTCTATAAACAAAAAGGGAGCTTTATTCAAAAGCCGATGACAAAAAACATGACATGAACACAACGGTAGCACAAGGAAGAAACATACCTGAAAAACTGACCGTGACTGACATGGAGGAAGACAGGAAAAACAAACAATGAACCGACATGGAGCACAGGGGAAGACAAGACTAAATACAAAGAAGGGTAATCACAGGACAAGACTACTACTTGGACTACTACCACAAGTACAATCAAGTACTTTTACTGTGAACTTTTTGAGTAATCCTTTGTCAAACTCCCCTCCTGTCCAAGTAGTACTGAGTCCAACAGTATCCATTTCATGTAGAACTTATTGTAAAAAAAATGTTTTTATCTCTCATCAAAGATAGCAGAAAACATGCATTATTGTACTCAGGGGTGGAGTTTGACAAAGGATTACTCAAAAAGTACACAGTAAAAGTACTTGATTGTACTTGTGGTAGTAGTCCAAGTAATACTGAGTCCAACAGTATCAATTTCATGTAGTACTTATTGCAAAAAACAATGTTATCTCTCATCAAAGATAGCAGAATACATTCATTAGTGTACTCAGGATTGGATTTTAAACGAGTATTACTCTCTTACTCTAGTAAAAGTACTTAATTGTATTTGTGGTAGTAGTCTAACAAGTACTGAGTCCAACAGTACCAATTGTATTAAGAACGTATGGCTAGAAATAATTTTATCCCTCATCAAATATAGCAAATACATGAATTATTGTACTCCGGAGGGGAGTTTGACAGAGTATTACTCAAAAAGTACACAGTAAAAGTACTTGATTGTACTTGTAGTAGTCCAAGTAGTACTGATTCCAACAGTACCAATTGTATTAAGAAGTTAGTTGAAAGCATGAATACATTAGGCTTGTTTGAGACAAGCAAGACCTGCGCAGTTGCGATCAACGTCTTGCTAGTGCGTTGCATGATGGTTAGTCATTTTGTCCGACTTGCTCTGGAGGCCCGCCCACATGAGACTTTGAAATTTCGCGGGACAAAGACGCCCGCAGCCTTGAGAGCGAGGCGAGGCGAGTTGGCGCAGTTGCTCTCCACGGGCTGCAGAAGCGAAATGCTTGATGGGAAACGTCTCGCTGGTATCTCGAGCTGAGCGCTCATTGGTGGTTTTTACCACGTGCTGCTGATGAAACTCTCCAATTGGCTGGCAAAAGTTTGTTGTTGTTTTGTGTCAGTTTTACGTCGCCACATCCATTCCCATTTTTCATCATTGTTCCACAATGTTTATCATCATGAAATTAATATCTATATATTTTATACTATACTGCTTACCGTTTTCATACTTTATATATCTTAGCATATTCATACACACTGTTCATGCTGCTCACAGGCTGATATCTAGTGTATTCATACCCCTCACTGTTTATTCATCATTCAATTCATTTTTATTCTGTAGGTTGTGTACATTACTTTTCACTTTACTGCTTGTTGCACCTGGTTAGAAGCTAAACTGCATTTCGTTGTCTTAGTACCTGTAATATGTGCAATAACAATAAAGTTGAATCTAATCTTGAGCAGGAACAAATGCATTTACTTAGTACATATCTGACATTAACGAATATACACATTTGTGCATTCTTTATAAATGCAAACTTGTCAAGACCACTGACGGAAGTAGTTTTGAAAAGTAATAAGTGGTTCTGTCTTTTACATGTATTCAACCCCCCTTGTACTGATTTGTTTCAAAATGAACTGACACTTGAGTCATTCATTTGTAGTGATATAATAATTGTGGGATTTCTATTGCATCCACTTCATCTGCAACGAAAAACGCCAACGCAATTCCCGCGATTGCAAACCCAGCCAGTCAAGCCGACTCCGACTCCGAGCTGTCCGACTTAAGACGAGCTTTTTGACACCTCCCCCGGCTGCGATCGGCTACTCTCGTCTACTTTCGAGGCGAGCCGCAATGTGTCTCAAACAAGCCTATTAATTGCAGTGCTTCTCAAAGTGTGGTCCGCGGACCACTGGTGGTCCGTGAGCGCCCCCTAGTGGTCCGTGAGTATATTGGTAACATTTCACATTTGAAATTAATTAAGTAATTTAAGTTTTTCGCACTCTCGCGGAAATATCTCCGCAATGGAGCAAGCTTAAGTTTAACTTTCGATTGCATGATATAGCCCAGATAAACACCTTCATTACACATGTTGCCACTTGTTGGTACCATTTTCAGGCGATTTTTAAAAAACGATATGTTTTTGGATATTTGTGGAGTTAGGTGGTCCTCGAGTGTTTTTTTATTGGTTAAGTGGTCCTTGGTATGAAAAAGTTTGAGAAACACTGAATTAGAGGGAGGCGTGTGGCGCAGTTGATAGAGCATTGATGTTGGGATCAGGGGGTCACAGCTTCAAACCCCACTGTAGTCAGCATGTCGTTAGGCTTGTTTGAGACGCGTTGCGGCTCGCCTCGAAAGTAGACGAGAATAGCCGATCGCAGCCGGGGGAGGTCTCAAAAAGCTCACCTGAAGTCGGACAGCTCGGAGTCGGCTTCGTCTTCTTCTTCTTCTCTCGGTTTTTTGGCGGATTGCAAACAACTTTAAGGTGCATACCGCCACCTCTGGAGTCGGCTTGACTCGGTTTGCATTTATAAAGAATGCACACATGTGTTTAATCGTTAATGTCAGATATGTACTAAGTAAATACATTTGTTCCTGCTCAAGATTAGATTCAACTTTATTGTTATTGCACATATTACAGGTACTGAGACAACGAAATGCAGTTTAGCTTCTAACCAGGTGCAACCAGCAGTGAAGTGAAAAGTAATGTACACAATCTACAGAATAAAATATAGAATGAATTGAATGATGAATAAACAGTGAGGGGTATGAATACACTAGATATCAGCCTGTGAGCAGTATGAACAGTGTGTATGAATATGCTAAGATATATAAAGTATGAAAACGGTAAGCAGTGCAAGTATAGTATAAAATATATAGATATTAATTTCATGATGATAAACATTGTGGAACAATGATGAAAAATGGGAATGGATGTGGCGACGTAAAACGGACACAAAACAACAAACTTTTGCCGAGCCAATTGGAGAGTTTCATCACCAGCACGTGGTAAAAACCACCAATGAGCGCTCAGCTCGAGATACCTGCGAGTCGGTCGTTTCTGTCACTACCCGATCTGCAGCTCTGCCCGATCTGCAGTGCGCATGTGCGAGATGGTCCGCCATATTGGACAACTCCGGACGGCAATCCAAGTAGGACAACATTGACACAGTGGCTTTTGGCAAAGCTCAAAAATAAAACTCGAGAGAGATGAGTTATTGTTATTACAACGTGACTTCACTATTATTTAACAACTCTTTTTATTGGATTCTTTTATTTGGGGTTAAGGACATTGTCAGAATAAGTGAGAAATTACTTTAACTTATGTTAGACAGCTATCATACTGAATAAATATTTACTGTGAATGTGTGCAAAAATGTATGGCATATAGCTGTCTAACAGAAGTTAAATCCATGTCTCACTTATTCTGACAATGTACTTAACCCCAAATAAAATAACCCAATAAAAAGAGTTGTTTAATAATAGTGAAGTCACGTTGTAATAACAATAACTCATCTCTCTCGAGTTTTCCTTTTGAGCTTTGCCAAAAGCCACTGTGTCAATGTTGTCCTACTTGGGATGCCGTCCGGCGTTGTCCAATATGGCGGACCATCTCGCACATGCGCACTGCAGATCGGGCAGAGCTGCAGATCGGGTAGTGACAGTTGTCATACATCCATGGTCGTTTCCCATCAAGCATTTCGTTTCCGCAGCCCGTGGAGAGGAACTGCGCCGCCTCGCCGCGCCTCGCTCTCAAGGCTGCGGGCGTCTTTGTCCCGCGAGATTTCAACGTCTCATGTAGGCGAGCCTCCAGAGCAGTGGTCCCCAAACTAAGGCCCGCGGGCCGGGTACGGCCCGCCTCCACATTTGGCCCGGCCCCCTGAACAATACTATTGATTGATTGATTGATTGATTGATTGATTGATTGATTGATTAATTGAATTGATTGATTGATTGAAAAGTTTATTAACAGCTTGTATATTGGGTACAGTACAGTACAGCTCAAAACATACAATTGTTAAGGGGATGCAGACCAGAGAAAGACTTTCGTCTTGTTTACATCAGGGTCCCCCATTTCCAATTCATCATGTACGCAACCAGAGACGCATTATGATTTATTTATTTTTTCAGTCTGGCCATGCGAATCTTAGACTAGCCCCTGTCAAAATGTTGTGACCTGCTCTATCGAAATCAGTCGCATTGACCCGAAGACACCTTTTGAGTTGTATACACTGTTGGAAAGAGGATATTCCTAGCTTTCTAATGATATCAGGATTGTTTTTGTACTTCAAATATTAAGCGAAATATGTCACATTATATAATGACTGTCACAGAGTCATCATTTTGAGAAAAAGGCCTTCAAAGTTGTCTCTTCTCTGGAATCCATCGATCTGATTGATTATTAGCGGAGCAAATGATCAAAATACTACCGAGGGAAGATATTTTCGTTTGGAGAGGAAGCTCGCGAGTGTGTGTGAGTGTGTGTGCTTGTGTACTTTTGCGTTTGTGTGTATTGTGTTTGTTTCCCGGGGAAAACACTCACGAGAAACACCGGTTGTTATGCCTGCCGTTCTCCGCTTGTAATTATGCCGAAGCTTCAAAGTTGTATTTATCATCTGAATTTGCCGAAACAATTTTAATATTCTGAAAGCCAAGACTTTGTTTAATTGAAATCAGATGAAAACAAACTGTAACGGACCCTGCAGTGTTATCTATGATTACTATACTCTTACATTCATAATTTCAGCGGAGTGAGGGGGGGGGCGGCGCTGCGGAAGAGCAGATTGCGAGTGAGAAATAAATAAATTGTAAATAAAAGTTTCATATTCTGAAAGCCAAGACTTTGTTTGTTTAAAATCAAACAAAACACCCGAACCCCGAAAAAATTGTTTTTTTTACATAAATCCATGTTTATTTTTGAGAGATTCTGCTCTGACAACTAAGCTAAACTTTTACCTGTTAAGATTGTGCACGGCACAACAGAAAGTTACAGTAATTTTCAATGGACTTTTTTTCGGTGAAGAACCCAAAGAGGGTTATTTGGTTATTATTTATTTCATAAATAGTGTAATTTATTTCATTAATAGTGTTATTATTTATTTCCTGACTTTTTTTCTGTGAAGATCCCGGAAAGGGTTATTAATATTTGGTTATGTGTGGCTTTCTAGAAAACAATAAATGTTTACGTTTAGACACCCATGCGATCGTCACACTTTTTCTGTTACAAACTGACCCGGCCCCCATCAGAGAAGGGAAAAGTTATGTGGCCCTCACAGGAAAAAGTTTGGGGACCCCTGCTCCAGAGCAAGTCGGACAAAATGACTAACCATCATGCAACGCACTAGCAAGACGTTGATCGCAACTGCGCAGGTCTCGCTTGTCTCAAACAAGCCTGTTGTGTCCCTGGGCAAGACACTTCACCCCAAATTGGGGTCAGGATTTTTAACGAGTATTACTCAAAAAGTACACAGTAAAAGTAGCCTACTTAATTGTATTTGTGGTAGTACTGAGTCCAACAGTACCAATTTTATTAAGAATTTATGGTAAAACATATTTTTATCGAAAAATATAGCACACAAATATGCATTCTTATATTTTCGTACCGCTTCTCGGTGATTACCGTAAAGACGCTATTAATCGTGCACTCAAAAATGAAGAGCTGCTCATTTGATCAAGCAAATTCGAGAGTCGGCTGAGTTGACCGCAGTAACACGTTTAATAAACACGTTTTATTTATTAAATTTTTTAAATTATAAATAAACGGTGAACTTCAAGGCTACGGTGAACTTTAAGGCTACGATGTATGTGATGTCAGATAGTAATATAATGGCGCATTTCCACTACAGCGCGGAGCTCGCAATAAGCGTGCCGTGCCCAGCCCGTTTTTGGTTGCGTTTCCACTTGGCGTAGTTCCGGCTAGCGGGTACTATTTCACAGTTTTTCTGGACCCATAAAATCTAGGTTCTTTCCGGGCCAACAACCAGGCTGAGTCGGGCTGAGTATGCTAAACTAGAGAGAGAATCGCTGACAAGGGGGCTACACAACTACAACAAGATGAACATATTTGACCGTGATTTAATTGTAATACACGTTTCAAAATGATGCCGAAGTAACAACATACTGATACCGGTTAGTAAAAACCTTGAATTAATGCTTTGACAAGTCTGCAGACAGACGGCAGGCAAAAAACCTTTTAAAATGCGTGTTTTCTAAATGGAGATCGGCTAAGCTAACGCAGTATATGCTCCGACCGTCCACACTCACAACAACGGCCTATACAGACATAAATAAACCAGCGACTGTATTCGCCATGACACAGACAGTCTGTGGTTTGTACTTGTTTAACTTTTGTCTAGTTTCTGAACAGATATGAGGAGCTGTGAGCTTGAGTGCTAACAGCTAACGGCTGATGTTGTTTTTCTGTGGTTCTCATTGAAGATGACGTCACGGCTCCGCCTACACTGCGTTACTATAGTTACTGCCCCAGCTACTAAACTGTAATGGAAACGCAGCATAAAGTGAGCCAGTCCTAACAAGCCCTAGCCATACCGCGCGAGGCCCTGTAGTGGAAATGCGCCATAAGAGTAATACATGAAAAACAGACCTATACTATACAGTATGACAGTAAAACAAGAATAGAGTTTAAAAGGGGAGTGATTTGTAAAGTATCCAAAAAGAAAATCTGTTTACAGTTCTGTTTCATATGGGTGTTGATGAGAGATGTATCCATAGATCTCTTAATTTTGCTCTCAAAGTGCACCAGATTGATGCTTTTAACTTCAATATAAAAAAAAAAATCTTCCGTGTGGGGAGTGTTGCAGTAGAAAATTCCACTGTAGCGCCCGGTCATTTACATTAAAAAAAAGACCGACATTTTCTCGATATTTCACATTCTTCTGTTAAGCTAAAACATGATATTACGCTAGTCTGTCCATATTTGAGATAGGCTAATAAGCACTTACTATATCTAAAACTTTCATTTTAACCTTGAAAGCATGGCCTACAGAAATGTTGTTACAATATCCCCCACAACAAGTCATAGATGGCGCTATCACATAAGAGTGTCCATAGAATGACCTGTCAAGATAACCACACCACAAGTTTGATGAAAATATGATTAGTTTACACAGTTGACTTAGCATACTTATTACATGATTTGTCACCTGTCCTAAACTCCCTGCATATCGTAACCATTTACTGTCTATTCAACCACTAGAAGTAGAAACATAAAACAGTTCTTGCAACATGATTATCCAAATCCAATACGTCTATACTGAAAGAGAACTCCTGTAACTTTCACATTGACTCAAGACTATAGTTCTCAGTGCTCCAAATGCTCTGCAGTAGCACATGAACCACAATATTTAGGCATGTAGTTATAATATGTTTTTTCTTTTAATATATTTATGTATTGGGTTGAGAAACCAAAAAAGTCTTACAATAACATAATCACAACGTACATCTTTTCCCAGAAGTAGATTTAGCGAGGCCATATGCATAATAAACAGGATAAAACAGGTAATCAATTTGATTCCCATATTATAACAATATACATTTTAATCACATATGCAGTGGCTCCTGGTTGTTCACATGAAACATACTGGTACATGATGAGGGTTCAACTCAGGAATGTATAGTTTCAAATCCCAGATGAGTCTTGTCAGTCTTGTCTTTTAATTTGTATTGCACAATGCCATGTCTTTTTATGCTGCTGCAACACAAACATTTCCCAAATTGGGAGGTGACGGAGACTGTTCTACAGCTCGTTGCGCTCCATCTTCTCCTTGTGTTGTCGGATCTTTTCTGGGAGAGTCTGAGTCAGGAAGACAAACCGCTTCTCCCTAAGGTGCTGGCCAGCTACCTGCTCCTTTAAATCAATAAAGTAGGCTACTATCTTATCTTATGAGAGGAAATTATGTATTTTGAAAAAGCATTTGTCTTAAAAAACATAGGCTAATGGAAATGATTTGCCAATATTAGTTATACTGAGTTACATTAATAATTACGGAATTGATGTGTATTATAGCTAACTCTGTGGTGAATAAGTCAGTGGTGTAAGTTTTGCAATAATAATGTAAGCATCATTTGTCGGTGGTAGGGATAGTCTTACTGCACTTTCAATTAACTTAATAAATAATAATAATACTATAAATAATAATACATAAAATCAATATAGCATATAGGTAATTGATGTTGTGGATGGCTCTATTTCTGAAGTTGTAAAACGATGTACAATTACAATGTTTTCCTCTGAGATGTAGTGGAGTAGGCCTATAAGAAGCGTTAACATCAAATGCAAATAGTGTAGTAGCCTATACAACATTATACAGTAACTGAGTGGCAGCAGGCTATAGTATTACATTATTTTCCCTCTTGCCTTCAACTCCTAATCAACTAACCCGTATTCCACCTATACTTTCTACTTTAGTACTTTTGTCAGTTGTTTTACTTGCTTGTAAGCGCTTTGAGCATCAGGAAAAGCGCTTAAAAAATGTAATGTATTATTATTATTCCACCACTGGTGTTTCATTTCCTAGCCACATGTCGCTGCTGTTGAAAGATGATATAATTTACAGTACAATAGTTATAATGATGTGCACGTCTCTAAAAAGTTCTCAAAAATAAAACTACCACCGTTTGATAAAGTAGGATAGGCTACGCGTGTTTCTCTTTTTGTGCGATTGATTGATTGATTGAAAAGTTTATTAACAGCTTGTATATTGGGTACAGTACAGTACAGCTCAAAACATACAATTGTTAAGGGGATGCAGACCAGAGAAAGACTTTCGTCTTGTTTACATCAGGGTCCCCCATTTCCAATTCATCATATTGCATAGTGCAGTGTAACTTTAGATGGCGAGCACGTCCAGAAATTAAAATCGACACGATTTCTGTCGAAAGCATATTTTTAAACAATAAAATATCTTAACAGCATAAACCATATCAATGCCACATTTCCTCCTGGTACACAGACACGTATAAGTAACGTTAGTTAAATGTCATATGAGCTCCGGCGGCTCGCAGCTCTCTGGCTCCGCTGTGAATGAGCGAGGAACTAAGGAACTGCCCATGTGAGGAACAAACGGAGCGAGCGCCCATCTCTCGCGAGGAACGACGCCGTTATCGGAATCTCTACAAACAACACGAGAATTCATCATTCACACGGTAATATAACCCAATCTTACACGGTACATGTGTTGTGTGCCAGCAAGAAGCCGACTCAAAATCATAGTTAATTGTTATTTATTCAAACAGTTTACCATTCTTGTGTTACATTTTAGCGGCCTGTAGGCCTTACTAGCAAGCTAACCACCACGCTAGCTTAGACTCATTTGCAATGCTTCGGCTTTAACGTTAGCATGCAAGCTTGCAAATCAGATTTTGTAGTTGTGCTAACTTAGCTAACATTAGCTTGTATCTGTTTCTGCTCAGGCTAGCTAGTTAGCTTGACTTAATGCAAAGTTGCATGTCTTGCCGACATGCTGAAGTAATAACGTTAGCCAGCATACATCCGATGACATTATATAAAAGCCATCTTACACGTCAATTTATATATTCTGGTTTGTTTTATTTCACTCACTTCACATTGTCAACATACCCCCGCCCAGTTAGCTAGCCGCTACGCTAGTTAGCTTACAAGGAAGTAATGTAAGCTAACAATCCAACATCGTTAACTTAGTCAGGCCAGCAACACCTGATCCTTGCATTTTTATAGTTTGCCATCTAACGTAAGAGAAGCAGGGTTTTTCCAGAACAGCTGTAGCCCACACTGACCTCCCATAGCTACCAGAGTTTGCTGGAACTAACATCGGCTGTTAATAAAATGCTCTCGGACTAGGCTGTTTCATGTCATTTGTGCTTGTTGATATGAAATGATAATACATATGAAAACGACATTGCACTTGAATATCTATAGTGGATTTCAATGTGCCCATACATGTAAAGAGGAATCCAGGAGAAGGCGGGCATATCATGTAACTCGCGTTACTGTAACTGGTGTTGGTCTCTGGACATATGTGCATGCTGTAAACGTGTAACATAAATGCATTTTTGTTCAGAGTTTAAGTGATTGAGTATGAAATTCATGCCTACATTTCCTCACAAACCATAAGTCAAAGGGAATTGTCATTGTAAGTGTGTTATTCCCCAGATTATTGAATAAGGTCACTACCATGGCATATAACTGTATGAAGTTGTTTGAGTCTTTTTGGGGGTGGTGGTGAATATTGTTTACATACATGTATCTTATGATGTGGGCCTAAATGTACCTGTCCTCTACTCACGTTGGGGCTGTTATGATTTCATATTTTAACTTGACTATTATCATAGCCAAAATAACTTCACAACTATATTTTCCTCATGTAGAAAATGTTGAAGCAAACATAAATGTAATCATCATAGGTAATCATTCAAACTCATGGTTACCATTTTTTTCAACATCAGTTATTGACGTTGACGATGTATAACGTTACATCCATTAACTCGGACCAAAGCTCAATTAACTCTCAAAAGTCATAGTACACTTAAATGCAGAGAAATGACATATAATTGCTAAAGACTAGTCCTGTAAGGAACACCTTCCTTTTAAAAAAAAAAACCTGAATTGTACAAACAAGTGCAATGCAGTGTATGAATTCTATGAGATTGGTTCAGTCCTTTCACAAACAAAATACATCATATGTGCATAGTCATCAGTAATGCAGACCCAGCTGAAAGATAGTCTGCTTTATAGTAGCATTTCAGTAAGTAAATAGTTTGCTGTCTTGGTAACTTAACCAAGTTTTCCTGTTATCTAATTTCAGCTGTGAACGATGTCTGAACAAGAGTTGGAGGAAATTGTGCAAATAACAGTGGAGGATTTTAACCAGGATGACCGGACAGGTAAGAGTCTTGTGAAACAATATCAAATGTATCTATTTAGTGTATAGGGAATTGATGAATGTTTAAATTCTCTATACTTTTGACCAGATATTGTTAAGTTACTTATTGGGCAAATGCAGCACAATCAAACATGGACATTTCATCAATAATATTTTACAAATTCTCAAGTAATTGATGTTTTTGTGTGAGCTTGCTTGATGCTTAGCGTTTACTGTACAACTATGTTATTCAAAAGCTGCATAATGAACATTTTATTTTAGTTTGGGACTCTGTATCATCAGACACAAAAGTTTTGTGCCTTTTTAATTGGAGCGTAAGCAAAGCTTATATCTAGGCATCCCATAGTGAAATCGAACAATGCAGCTGTCATTTGTTATTTTGAGAGTCTCTTTATATTTGATTCATGTCAGACCTGTTGGACAATCATGAAGACGACGAAGAAAAGCCTCAGAAGAAAAAGAGGAAATTAAGCACCAGCCAAGAGAATAACAACAATAACCAAGACATATCTCTTATTAAGGTACCAACTCTGTCCAAAGCTTATATTTTTTTATATATTTAAAAGTATATGATTTGTGAGTTGAATAACACACACAGCATGTTCTTATTTGTGATTCCAGAACCTGTTAGACTCTTTCACTGCATCAATCAGCCAGCGACTGGAGGGGATTGAATCAAAGTTATACTCTCTGGATGCTACGTGCAAAGCCCTTGGACGCAAACTGGACAGCATGGTGCCATGTGCAAAGAGTCCTATCCAGGTTCCTATGGTGGCAGGGTCTCCGCAGGGGGCCACTCAAACTTGGAACAAAGTGAGATGGTAAGATACAAGTCTTTACCTCCGAGTGCATTTTGCACAAATTGAACATTGTCTTCATTCAGGCTTAGAGTGCAGGAAAGATGGTGATGAATTACAATTGTGAGGCTTTTGTTGGCGTCAGCTTCTATCATGCAGAATAATTTTCATTTGAGTCATCTTACAAAGCTGCATTGTGATTACAGGAGCCAGCCTAACCAAATGAGCTAAACCTTGTTAAAGTGCAATGCATGCCGACATCATCTAACTGCTACCTTTTGATTATTCTACTTCAGCGTTGTACCACAAACAAATGTGATAGTGAGCAGTGAACACCCAAAGGGCACTATGCAAGAAGAAACACCTCTGGAGAATCTGCTCAGCAAGTGAGTGGCTCACATTCACACAATATGCTTTGTATGAACTAAGGTCACTAAACTAACTAAATGTGTAAAGCCTTCCCAACAAAGTGCATTTCCCACCAGGCAATCGAGGACTTTATAGTATCTGAATGACTTAAACCAGGTGGTTGCTGCAGTGATCTGTCTGTTTGTGAGACCTACTGATTTCAAATGTGTGCTTCTCTACAGCACGGTGGCCAGGAAGCGTCACAACACAATCCTTGTAAAGGTCCCGGGGCCAGATGATAGTCAGGAAGAACAAGACAGCGGCTCAGAGGCCAGTGACACTGTTTCAAATGGTGGCCATTCCAGCAATGCGCAAAATGGCCAAAATGTCACACTCATTACGCTCAACTCAGAAGGTATGACTTAGACGCACAGATTTAACATGTATGTTATTACTCTTGTTCCCTTTTGGTAATTCGATAGAAATGAGCCTATTAGCTCAAATGCATAGCTGTTAGTTAACCTTTAACTGGGGCTTGGTTATCACCAGTGTTGGGCTAGTTACTTTAAAAAAGTAACTAGTAATAGTTATAGTTTCTGCTCTCAAAAAAGTAACTAGTTACTTTATTAGTTATTACATTATAAAAGTAACTAGTAACAAGTTACTTTACTTTAAAAATAATAACAATAACAGTTTTTGTGTTGTTCTGTGGCACAGTAAGAGAAAAGACAAATCCCCATCATTGTAGCAATTATCATTATGAAATGTAGTGGAACAATAAAACACAAAAGATATGTTTAGACATTTTGACAGGCATCTTTATTGTAGCCTCAACAATCAAGTTCTAAGTAGTGCACTTGTAGTACAATATGAAATAAAAACAACTACACTCTTTTGGCAGTAAGAATTAAATAAATAATAAACTGTCAGACTGACACTGAACACAAACAAACTATTTTCAGCCTCACAAAAACAAACTAACAGTGAAATCATTGACCTCACATCTGGCCATTTAGCATAAACAAAATCAATAATGGTGGATAAACTTAAGAAGAGGTGCTTTCAGCCTTATAAGTAATCTCCAAGTTGTAAATGCGCTGCTGCTCTCGCTGATACTTGCATCTGCCATTGTGTGTGTGTTGGTGGTGGGCGTTGCCGTGTATATGTGTGTGTGTGTGTGTGTTAGCAAGTGTTTGTGTGTCTGTGTATTTTCCCCATAAGGCAAGACCCGCCCAACTCTGTCTCTGATTGGCTTACCCTGAAATGTTACCCCGTTAACCAATCATCACTCCTCTCTGGTCACTTTCACTTTTCCATGGTACTGTGAGAGGACATCTCTGTATTCGCCTGTAAGTTACATCCCAGGGAGATTCGGTTCAGTTCAATCACATAATGTAACGCATTTAAATCACAGTAACTATAACGGCGTTACTGAATGGGAATAGGTAACTAGTAACGTTATTAGTTACCGCAAAAGGTAGTTGCATTACAGTAACGCGTTAGTGCCAACACTGGTTATCACATATTGAATCGTGCTTTACGAGCTGGTACTGCATCTTCCATCACGTACCTCACAGGTGATTGTTGGACCATCTAGGCCCAAGGAAATTAACATTGATTGTTTTGGTGTCCATATGGAAGGCAAACTGTGTTGATGAGTCATATTCATACCCTGTGGTTCTGACTGTGTTGATCAACGTGATTGGTCACTCTTTTTTTCATTAGCCTTGCTCAGTAATTCCTGCTGAGCCAGAGACATTTCTGAATGGGAAAACCTAAATTAAGTCCACATTGTTTTGAACTGTGTTGCTATTAGTTGTGATTGTTTGGTTGGGTATTTTCAGTGGGCTAGGGAAGTTCCTGGTTGTCTTCAAAGGCAAACTATTAATCATTTATTTGCAGCTGTGGGTTACCATGATAAAAATGTTAGTCAGCATTAGCTAGATGGTACCATATGGTGTTCAAAACAGTGTGTCCCCTTCTTTGTGTGTGTATTTTTGTGTGAGGTGGATTTAACTTTTAACATACGCAGTGAGCAAACAGCCAAACCACGTATTCAGCTTTAAATGATCTTTGATAAAAACACATTTGCAACTCCTCTAATTCCATTTAATGCCACATGGGAGTGCTATTGTCTAACATGACTTATCATATAGGCTCTGCTATATACCTAGGTGTAGTATTTTGTCAATAAGGGAAACCTGCTACCAGTATTTAACAGGCCACATGTTTTCTGAAAGAGAGCCGTTTGAACTGTTCCCTCTCCTGTTCTTAGATGATTACCCAGTGGGCACCTGGTTGGGAGACGAGAACAACCCCGAGATGCGAGTTCGTTGTCCGGTGTCTGCAGCTGATATGCTCCATATCACCACAAACTGTCGCACAGCGGAGAAAATGGCGCTGACACTGTTAGACTACCTGTTCCACCGGGAAGTCCAGGCCATGTCCAACCTGTCTGGCCAGGGCAAACACGGCAAGAAGCAGCTGGACCCGCTCATGATCTATGGCATTCGATGTGAGTCCTTCTCTAACCATCTGGTATTAACAAGTATCAATTTTATGCAGCCTGCTTCACTTTGTGATAGATTGACAAAGTAGAGCTGGACCTGGTAATCACTCCATGATAAGCAGGTTCATAAAAAGGACTGTCTTTATATGTAGGATAAAATAAACTTGCCTTGCCTTGCCTAGGATGGCAAAATGACCATCCAGTAACCTCCAAGGTGGCGTCTAGTCATCAGTGTTTTTATTACACACGTTCAGCGTAGTTTAATTTATACTAATACATCTGACTCAGCTGCGGTTTTAATCCTTGCCCCTAACAGCAATAAATGAACTCTCTGAGACCTTCCCACATTTAATCTTCGTTCCATTATAAAGCGGCACCGAATTGAACACAGAAATAGACTGCAGTCTGTATTCCCAAGGCGGGTTACAACAACATGCATTCATCCTTGCACATGCATTAATGGGCAACACATTTTATAACATACCAGTCTGTAAATGACAAGCACATGTCTGCTAGAAAGATCCTAATGGAGTCCGCCTCAATTCAGTGAACGCTTTGATTCCCCCCTGCAGGAGGATTTAATAAAAATCCCCCATGGCATACATAGAGGCATGCAGAGGCTGGAGCAGGGCCAGGTGACTTTTGGGTGACTCATTCTTGAGAAAAAAAGGAATGAGGGCGCAAGTGCCATGCCTGCCTGTACAGGACCCTTCAGTTGTTTTAAGGGCTGCCATACACTGCCATCCTAATATCCATAGCAACCCCACAGCAATCCCTCTGTCTTGTTTTCCCTCAGGCTGTAGCTTGGTAGTGAATTTATGAAGAAGTGAACTGTCAATGCGCTCACCCCTTAAACTGTTCATACCATTGAGGTAGACAAACACTAAATGCAGCTGCATCCATTCGCACCTCCTCATATCTCCTATAGGCGCATTCACACTGCGGTACTTTTCCCACAAAGGTTCATGTGAACTTAGTTTATTGTGAACTATTTAGTTCGCATGAACTAAGTACAGATCGCGTTCACACTGGAAAAAGTCCGTGGGGGTGGATTAGGCAAATGAAGCCGCTGACGTCACTTGTTCTTCTTCTGCTTTGGGTTTACTGGCAGGCCGCAAACCACTTCAAGGCGTTTACTGCCGCCCAAAGTCCCCGGCCGGAAGTCCCCGGAGTTGGGGACTGGCTTCAGTAGAAGCTGCTGGGACTCCCAGCAGTTTCTACTGAAGCCTTCCGAGTAAATCGCCAGAACGCCGACACCTCCTCATCTCCACCGCTCCCATGTTTTATTTTGTGTTGCCATAAGTTAGTCTCTCTGCGTTTCTGCGCTGGGCTAATGCTAATAATGCTAATGCAAGGATAATAAAATGGCGGCTTCACAAAACTTTTTGGGAGTTTTACGGGGCGTGGTTTGCAATCTGCCCAGCCAATCAGAAATATAGCTCTTTTCTCACAAAAGTGCCGCTCGAAAGTCCCTGCTCTCTAGCAGGGACTTTCGAGGGGGTAAAAAGGTTCACATGAACTAATTTTAGTACCGGCTCTTTTTGGTGTGAACGCGATAAAAGAGTTCACATGAACTAAGTTCACATGAACCTTTGTGGGAAAAGTACCGCAGTGTGAATGCGCCTATTGAGGCAGGTAAGAAGGACTGTCTCAGAGCTGTGTTAACACTGCATGTCAAGAGTAAGTGGAGCAGAAGTAAACAGGACCAGGACAGTTTCTTCCTTCAGTTTTCATAACAATCACAGTCAAAATTTGAATTGACAAATTCTAACAAGTGTTGCACCTGGTTTGACTTTCTAACAGCAATTGCGGCATCACACCAATGTGGTAGCACTTCATCATAATCAGCATATTGAACCGGGAAAGATCATGGAAAATACCCACATCAAAAGGTGTGTGAGAGTACTTTAAATACAATCTATTTTGAATTGCTTCAAAACAAAACGGGAGGAAATCAACCTTTGAAATAAATAATTTCCCTTTTTAGAATCAAACAATTAAAAAATATCTTTACTATTTAAGTATTTGGTGTCATACTCTCAGTCTCAAAAATATCTTATACTGCTTCAGTACACTCGCAGATGAGCATTAAACACCCTTAGCTCCAGCCAATATTTATTATTCTTTAATGGTCTGTTGCTTTCTTTAGCTGTGACAGTTGGAATTCAATCTCAATGTTTTGCGTCCCTCAAGTAGCTTGCAAACATGATGGAAAGCTACATAAATGCTTGTATGACAAGTTCCAACCTTCAGATTTAATGGTGAGACATCTAAACATTTCAGCAGACATTTTCAGCCTGTGATATTATTTCCTGTGAATTATCCTGACTGCTATAACTTGTTCTGCTGATATTACCTTTAAGTTCTGGTGATGGCAGGGACATGAACACGTACAGTCCAGTTTGCCTGCTTACTCCAGTAAAGCTCATTTAGTTTCCTGTACTATTGAAACCGAACGGAGGCGGCAAATTAATGGAGGGTGCATTGCTGGGGGAAAAGGGCAAATCCATAACACAGAAATGTGCAAATGAGAAAGTTGTAATGCACCCATTTACAAACAAGCCAACACTATTTAATTATGTATACAGTATGGGATGACCTTTGATCTCTTTGTGTCCCAACAGGCCATTTGTTCCACAAATTTGGCATCACAGAATCAGACTGGTACCGCATCAAGCAGAGCATCGACTCAAAGTGTCGCACCGCCTGGAGACGCAAGCAGCGCGGCCAGAGTCTTGCTGTCAAGAGCTTCTCCAAACGCACGCCTCGGAGTTCAGCCTCAGGTAAAGCACAGATATTATCAGAGGGCTGCCGAGCATGTCATTCTGTGCAGAATCACAATTGCACATGCTGTAGGATGTCAACTTGTTGTGTGTGTTTTTGTAGTTCTTCATATGTAGATGCGTTGTTGAAACGTAATAACTTAAGAGACATGCTTAATAGCAATTTCCCACCCCACTGCATTAATACGCTTTCTAGGACAACTGATTTTCTTCAAACTACTAAATCTGCTTTAAAATTGGATTATTTGACGGAGAGTGCAGCAATATGAAAGAGACAAACGCCAACAGTAAACCCAGGATGTATGGCAAATCACGAAATACAGATATTAAGTAGGGCTGTTAAACGATTACATTTTTTAAATCAGATTAATCGCAGCTTAAAAATTAATTAATCATGATTAATCACCATTCGAACTATGTCCAAAATATGCCATTTCTTTATGTATATTGGAAAGATAAATGAAAGAAGGCGGATATATCCATTTAACATACAGTATCTATGTTTATTATAACATTTTTCTGTGTGTTAAAATGAAAGACAACCCACACACCTATCAATCATCAAACCGTGGGGTCTGAATTCATTACGTGTTGATTTCTATCAACGGGGGAGTACTTCAGGAAAGTCGACATTAAATATTTTAACGTAATTAATTCAAAAAATTAATTACCGCCGTTAACGCGATAATTTTGACAGCATTAATATTAAGTTAATGATATGATGAGCAATCAAGTATATGACTGGAATACATTTCATCAAGATCACTAGATCATATTAATAAAAATATCCCATTACATTTCAAGAAAAACCAAAGCTTCAACTTCTTGTGAAATATTTGGGAGAGAGCACAATAAGATTCTATGATCTGTATGTTCTTAAAAAAACAAAACACCTACTTGGCTCCACTCTCATAAGTCTTTATTGAGTGATTATGTTGCAATGTTTCAGCGATTGTTTTCTAATCAAATAAGGTTTACAATTCAACTAGCGACCCAAAAAGAGACATCTGCTATTATTTATTTCTATTCCTCATCGGCCAGTGACACCCTCATTGGTTTCTAGTTTGGATTGGTTTCAGTGGTGGAGCATGTTTCATTACTTGATTCTAAACTTTGATCTGACGAATTGAACTGGTGCTCAGCCAGTTTGAAAGGAATGTTTTTTAGTTTTCTCTATTAAGGATAGCCAACAATGAATAGTCATTTTTACTAAGTATCGTAGAGACTTAGCATTACACTTGTCCAAATAAATAGGGTGCAAATTCTGAGTTGCTCAATTTTTGCATTACCAGTGAAATACAGAGATGCGTACATGCTACCCTTTATCACGAATTGGCTGTTTTTATTCACTAAAAGACAAATGATTCCCAATAAAAGTCCACTTTTCTCTTCGTGCCCGTTATAACTTTTCTTTACTATGAATTGTGTAAATAGTCAACAAACACAGGAAGCTTAAAACTGAATACAGATGGTTGTAATCTGCACACAAAGCCTGCTGTCCTTCCATTCCTGCGAGCCATCACCTCTCACCTCTGACCAGCAAGAAATAAGACTGCAGGGGAAACCCAAATATCCTGTGAGCGCACACTAGGGGTGGATTGTCAGCCCTTCCTTTTCAGGCCACACACACCCCAGAGTGTACACCAAAATACTAGTTCAGATGTTGCATGCACAAACGTGCTAAAACGCACACCAAACAATCATTTCTTATTAAATCCGATTACATGTTAATGGACCGGAAAGAGGTAATGCTCCTCCTTTTAAAACCATTACTTATCAGTGAACCCGCAAGAAGCGCTCAGACCAAAACTGTAGTTTTCACAAGCCACCTGGCTTTAGCTTCCTCGTCTGGCAAACCAAAGCACTGATGATTATTTACATAACAGTTCATAGCAGTAATAACGAAAGATGGAAGACAGCCTTCCTTTTTAAAGCAAAACAGAACTTTGGAGGTGTACGCGAAGTGTGCACCTCCAAAGCAGAAATATCAAGCAGAAATATTGTATTTGTAATAAAAAAATAATAGCCAGACTTCTTTTCTTAGCTCTGTTAACTGCTGCATGGTATGCTACCAGAAATGACCCAAAATCCTCCTCCAGAATGGTCTTTTAACAAAACAGTTTTTTTTCTTTTGGGCCTTTGTTGCAGATGACACTGTCCCCGAGCCTTTTTTTGATGTCTTTGCTTGCTTTCTTGAGATCTTTTAGTAGTTTCAGAGCTGAAGTGGATGATGAGACTGGTCCATGCAGGGGCTTCAGGCTGCTGGTGTGAAAGCGGGTGTTTAGACTGAGGCCTGGAGTTGGTGTTTGGCTGCTAGACCATGAGTGTGTTTGGATGGCTAGCTTGAGAGTCCTTGTTGTGTATTTAGGCGTTTGATGAAGTATAAGCAGATGGCCTGGCAATTGGCCAGTTGTTGTTGTTTTTTTCTGAGGAGGTTGCTAAGGCCCCTTGCATGATGTGTGTCAGTTTGTGTGTCCTTATTTCTTATGTGGAATCACTTTCAATGTACTCCTGACCTACTTTTACTGTACACATGACAATTCTGTTTGTCCTCCTTACCAGAGGGAGGCATGGGAGATGAAACGGGACACATTGAGGCTGCTACCCAGCAGACCTTGCACTACACACTGGCCAATCAACAAGTCCAGTTCCACCGTATCGGCGAGGATGGACAAGTTCAAGTGGTGAGTGTCAGACATGCCATCCTTCACTGTTTCTCTCAATCCATTATCAGACATCTGTATTTGTTGGAAAACACATTTAAAGCAGTCTCGCTAACACCAGCAACACTTACCATTACACTCGCTGATGTTATATGAGGGTCTCATAGAGCAGGGTTTGTAGTTTAGGCTGAAAGTTCATTCCACCCACCAAGGTGACACATGCAGTGTTCTGCAGGGATATAGTGCAGCTTATGTCAATGAAGGCGTTGCCCAATCTCAACGAGGGAATGACCTTGGACAGCTGCTATGGCCAAAGGTCACAACCAGGCCCACTACAGCGCTAAGGGTGGGCGGGCAAGGAGGAAGTGACCGCATCTTCCATATCTTGTCCTCCCTGTGCCCTAAATAACCAAAAATACACTTTGAACCAGTGAGGAAGTGATTATTCCTTGATTTAACTAAATGGCATCTTGAAAGTCTTAAGGAAATCCCTTTTTTAGAGGTAAACTTTCCTATATTAATCCATTGTTTATCAATTAGGTTATTCATTGAGTGAGAACAGCTAGTCCCAGTTTGTATACTTTTTAAATATCCAAACGGCTGTTTAAGGATACACACAAGCTGTGAGATGTATAAGAGCTTTTTATGAGGAAATTAATATTTTTTTATTGCATATTTGTCGATTGCAAAGCCGGTGTTACCAACTAAAACAAATCTATTCTAAAAAATAACACATGATCTGAATATAATTCTTGTATATTTAAGGGGAATGTTCTGCCTCATCTACGCATTAGTACACCGCCTGCATGTGATGACAGTGCGGAATTAGTTGGCTCACTTTATAAAGGATGGGTAATAAATGGTAGGAGTGAATTAAAGGGTGCAGCTGAGCTTGAAATGTATTTAATACAGCAGGGGAAATCATAAATACGTACCGGCTGCATCCATCGTCTGATAGTTAATCAACTAAATGTGTTCCCAGATTACACTGATTTATTATTTTTAATCACATTCAGTATATTGAATCTCAAGAAAAGCTGAGTTCACAATTTTGTTTAAAAGTCTTATTCTTATATGAACATTGTACCCCAAATAAAACATGAATAGCTTGCTACTTGGCTGAGCTACAACACGTGCTAGCTCAGTGGTGCTGTTGTAGGTTCAATAGAAAGAAAGTAGTTCCTTAATGAAAGATCGTGATTTCTGGAGAACCACATAGCTGTTGAGTTTTTCTGGTAATTCGTTAGCGCTTTGTGCAACACAGTCTAATGTAGGTGCATTATATTCAACATACCTACGGTTGATATCTCCAAAATTCACCAGCTCACAACAATGCAATTCTGATACATATTACTCTAGGTAAACAACAAATATTTCTCTTTAACTACTGAAGCCTCTTGCACAATTTTGAATACATTGCAAATTATCATCATTTTGAATTTGAATTCCCATCTCTTATATTAGTCACACTTTTAAAATGAATTTGTTATTGGCCGAAATGAAGAGGAGGAATGTTTACAGCAAACAAACCCAGTTGTATTGTTCATTTGGGGGACTGAATATTATTTTAGGGCACACTACAAAACATTTATTTCAATCACATTAATGAATAATTGTGCAATGACTGTATTTAGATTTCTTTATAGTTAAAGAAAGTGTTTAGGAATAAAGGTAAACAGGCCTTTGCAGGTGTCTTCATTTCTTGACCACCTTGATGTAATGTTCCAGCTTTAGACGTCTCATTCTTCCTCCGTGCCTTTCAGATCCCACAGGGTCAGCTGCACATTGCCCAGGTGCCACAAGGAGAGGAAGTGCAGATCACACAGGACAGTGAGGTAAGCGTGTGTGTGATTGTGAGAATGAAAGGGAAAAGGAGAAACAGTCAGCCACACCTTTTCTTGAGTCATCCTTCCTGATGAATTAGGTGTCTAAGCAAACACGTTGGTCCGGAGAGTTTGTCTCCAGACGGCATTAAACTGTAGCAGTGAACTTGTGCTTGAGAAAGAAGTGGTTTCCTGAGAAGTGGTTTATTTCACTATGTTCATGTCAGTATGTTGCGTTTGAAATTTGTTTTGTACTTTTGTTGTCTTCGGGCTATCTGATAACTCGCTTCATTTAACTGGCTATTTGAAATAATCAATTACATCTGTGTGAGCACGTAGATTCAGAAAAATGCACTCTAGATTTTTCCATGACTCTACAGACAGAAAGACTTCAGCTTTGTATACATGTGAATGGTAAAATTGACGTTTTAGCATTAATGAATTAATAATGGATTAATTAAACAAGTTGCATGTATACTGTACACCTACATTTTGCAGAAATAAAAAGACTTCTTAAACATTTTATTAGTCAAAACTGTAGACTGGTGTCCAGCACATTACTCTACAGAGCTACAGTTCCCTTCTGATAAGGCTCTCTTTCACATTGAAATCTTGCCAAGTGTTTCTCAAGGAAATCAGGGTTGGTCCCTCATAGTTCTGTGAAAGAAGATTTTTTTTCACATGTTTTAGACTTCAGGCTATTTCTCTTTTTAATAAACAAAATGTACAGCCTTTCACCAGAGCACACTATTCTTTTCATCTGTCAAAAAGGTTTGTTAACCATTTACCATTTCCGTTTTTGAGCCCTCTATTTTTTGTTTGCCCATACAAATAGCCATCCCAATGAACCTCAGTAATACCTGACAACATTTAAGTCATTAGTGAATTTAAGCAAAAGCAGATGTTGTCTAATGTTTATATCCTCCTGCATGGGGTTATGACTTTTGTTTTGTACATAATGCCCAGATGTCTCGTGCCCCCACCAGACATGCACTCTGCATGCACACACAGCCGTGGCATGTATCTAATTCCAAACCACAGCGACTGTTAAAGAGGACATTTCTCATCAGGATCACTGTTAGTGTTTTTTTCAGGGACGTGGATTATGTCAGGGCGCCAGTCTATGTACACACACACACATGTAATCACATACTGTATATGACACGTGCCACACATAAATGACAGCTTGACATATGTGCAAAAGCACTTGACACCTTGACGCAGTGCTTTTCTAATTTCCTGTTCAGTTGTGCTAAAGGACAAAGAAATGCACGATTGAGAGACGGAGGCAGAAAAAGCTCTGAAGCCTTTCCTGCTCTTTGTGTCTGAGCCTAGATATTTTTCTCCTCTCCTTCCTATTCCATGACATTGTTTGTTTTTTTGAGTTCAAAGCTTAGCAACAAAATCCCACTTCTTCCAACTGCCACTCATAGAATATGTGTTCATTAGGAACGGGCCCCTTTCATCAAAGCCATTGGTTTCAGCATGCTTAAAAAGGAAATGAGCTGTTTGAAAGATTACACTGTTCTCTCACCATATGGCAGCCCCAAAATCATTCGAGATATATATATATATATATATATATATATATATATATTAGAGCTGTCAAACGATTACAATTTTTAATCAGATTAATCACAGCTTAAAAATTAATTAATCATGATTAATCACCATTCGAACTATGTCCAAAATATGCCATTTATTTATGTATATTTTTGTGGGAATGGAAAGATAAATGAAAGAAGGCGGATATATCCATTTAACATACAGTATCTATGTTTATTATAACATTTTTTTCTGCGTGTCAAAATGAAAGACAGCCCACACACCTATCAATCATCAAACCGTGGGGTCTCAATTCATTACGTGTTGATTTCTATCAACGGGGGAGTACTTCAGGAAAGTCGACGGGGGGGGCGGCGGCTAGTGGAGTACTTCGTGACCACAGAGTGTGAACGTTGTGATCAGCTGTTTTAGCGCAGTTCTCCAGTGAAGGGGGGGGGGGGGGGAGTCTCCCTCCGCAGCCAGTTGGCGTAGTTTTGGCACAATTCCGTTGTACAGACCGACGTTAACAGCAGCCCTGTCTGTGCACACGGAGACCGACTCTGTCGTCCGGTGATCTAACCGCCTTCTGGAAAAGCTTCACAAGTACGTCGGTACGCAAATGCGCTTTGTGACACAAGTGACGGTACGCATTTCAGAGAGATTACGCACATAACCTGCGTACCAGTTATGTGCACCCCGTACTACAGCAAAAGTATTCTCCGTCGGGACTTCCTGCAACAACACCACGCCGTTATCAAAGATGTTCTATTGAGAAGACGATCACTACGTGACAAAAGTTTTCAAAACCGTGGCTGCTGAAATCAATCTTACTAACTGCTGTCTGTGCAATTTACTCCGCGAGTTGGCAGACTTTATTTTGCTTCCTTTAACATCATTTTTCATGGTGGGGCTAAGCCATTTATTGGTATGGGTGTAGCCTACCCCAGCCATACCCTGGCGCTGCCACTGGTGGCACGTATGGGGCGGGCCATTCTGCACATGCGTTAAATGCGTTAAATATTTTTACACAATTAATTCAAAAAATTAAGTGTTGTCACAATACCAACATCTTGGTTTCGATACCGATACCAAGTCAAGAATTGCGATTCCGATTCTTTTTCGATACTTTTCTTATATTAGACAGTTATCATTGCCATTAATTGCCTCGGCAAACTACGAAAACGTTTGTTTGTCACAAAATAAATGACACTGGTTTGACTTAGATTTGAGGGCATGGGCTTGAGCATGATGTAATTATGTTATCTATCACATTCGCTAACCTGTCTGGATGCCGGTCGGCGGGTGATTAGCCAAGTTTGATGTGTTGGCTCCCTTGGTTTGCAGGGATCTAAAACATGTCTCACAGACAGGCCTCGTGGTGTCCGTAGACTTGCCCTCACTATCAGAGATATAGCTCAAATACTTCCAAATTTAGCTTCTGGCGTCTTTTTTGTCAACAAGCCGAGGCGCAGCGGCAGTTGCACTCCCACTTGCAGCCATGTTTTTCCTTTTCTCACATGCTCTGGCAGCTAGAGCGTGGCCGCGTGGCCGCGTGCACGAGAGAGGGGAGGCACTTAGAGCGTGTTTGAGAGGGGAGGGACTGCAGGCACGGAGCAGAGCGCTGAACACACACGGCTCTTATTAAAACGCCGCTTTCTCACCGGAGTACTTTCCCCCGTAATTCTTAAAGTACCGATACTAATGAAACGGAGGAATCGTAACGTTTTTAATGGCAGGGTATCGCGGTATCTTTCAAGTATCGGTACACCGTGCAACACACACACACACATATATATATATATATACACACATGAAATCAATTAGCAAGAGAAAAACACTGAGAATTGAGGTTGGATAAATAACGCTTACAGGATGTCCTCTCTTATGCGGTCTTGTTAACATCACTGTGGGAGTTCAGAAATGTAACAATGGTCATTGCATCTTGATGAGATTGCGATAAGCTTGTGCCTTTTGAAATGGGTTTTTGTTTTTGTTTACAAGAGCCTTGGTGAAGCCAGAAATGACACAAGTGTTATATTCAAGGACATGCCAACAACTCAAACTCTTATGTCATCGGGTATAAAAACTCTTCTTCTAAACCCTGGAAGCTTAAAAACCTTTAAAAGCTGTTGTGATACTGAGTCACTTACTTAACACTGTCATGCAAGATTATCTCATAATCACACTCTCACCGTAGCACCACTAAATGCCTTGGATTACCTTGTGACAATTCCTAATGAGGGAGTCCTTAAGGGCAATATGAGGGCAAAGAAATGGGCAAGATGTTTTGATTTTATGGCTCAATGATATTGTATGTATTTTGAAATGACGTATATTCCCCTTCTTTTTTTTTTACAGGGAAATCTTCAGATCCACCAAGTACATGTCGGTCAGGATGGACAGGTAAGAATAAGTTCACAGTAATCTAAATCATTTAAATTCACTTAGGAATCCATGCTCATGATAAACCTCATATTTTTGCCTTACTTCTTATTTTTGTGCATAATGTACAAATCCGTCAAAAACAAAGGCTGTATATCACCAATGGTGGATATGTGGTGTTGAGTGTTGGACAATCTAGAATCTTCTTTCCATTTATTTACCTCGATTTAACACAAAAACAAAATCACTGAATAGTCCAAATAGGACCTGATTTATCTTTAACTCCCTTCATGCACTTCTACTTGTTGTGGTTCTAAAAACAACATTGGTCTTAGTTGTTCAGCTTTTTTCAATTATATTTCGTTTTTCTATTTCACTGCACTCGTGTTTGTCTGAATTGTAGTGAACCACAGCGACTTCTGTGTACGAGGATGTCACATTCATACACTCTATGTTGCTGTGAGTGTGGCGGCCCTGGGGCCTCATTTATAAAGGGATATACGCTCAAAAAATGGCGTACGCCAGTTTCTACGCAATGTTTGCGATTTATAAAATACTAACTTGACGGAAAAATGTGCGGTCCTCCACGCAAACTCTAACCCATGCGTACGCACTAAGCACAAAAACGGGGAGAGACGAGAAACTGCAACACCGCGTTGGCAGAAGGAAGAATGGAGAAATATGTGGAAATAATACCATAAATAAAATGTTACTTCTCATTTATCATATATGAAAAATTCATTTTCAAACATTGATTAAAGCCAATCTTAAAATGATTAAACAAACGCCTGTTTGCGACTCCTCAGTGCACATAAAAACATAACTTGGAGAAATAAATAAATACGGATATGTTATTTAAAACCACCTGGAATATGTTGTGTTAATGTTATGAAATGTTTTCTCATAAATGATGCGGTAAGCAGGAGGACAGAATTACGTCTAAACTGACGTCGTTTTTCATTTCTATAGTTGTACGAGCATGGTTTTATATACTATCACGTTTAATCGTGTTTTATGCCGTTTGCCAAGACTTGATAAGTCGCTCGTAAAACACAGGAGGTATGGAAGCTAAGAACACCATATGTGGTAAATTGTACAGCTGATGTAACACAACACATTAGTTGTATTTCCTTTAACTGGTGGATATAGGGTTGCAGCTGATCGACAGCTGGGACACAAATCCAGTCGTCATGACTCCACTCCGGAGGGATTCCCTGATCACTTATTACAGTCTCTCATCAAGGGGGGTCTCCTGTCCCCGATACAAACACACTGCCTGAGGAAGGCTATGTGTATTGTTTTTGTCATTAACCTTTTTCGGGCCATTTATTTATTTATTTTGGTGACGATCCGACCTCCATGCTGCTACTCTGGTTCAAACTGCATCCACCAAACAATATGATTTATCTCCACCTCCCCAAAATAACCCACATCTGACACGGCGTGAGATGTCTTTTTTAACTGTTCTGTCGTCATTTCCTGCGATCTTCTTCATAAAGTCAGTCAGAATGAATGAATGAATGGGCGTTTCTTTGACTATTTATAGGCAAATATGGGCGTTACGTGAAGCCCGCAAAAGCTGCATCGCATTTCGAGTCGATTGTGATTTATAAAGGGAAACCGGCGTAGGAAGCGCTGTACGCACTTTCCTCGCCGGTACGCAATATTTGGTGAATCGGAAAATTTCTGTACCTATTTTTTGGATTTCTACTACGTAAGCAACCTTCCCACGTGAATCCTACGCACGGCGTTATAAATGAGGCCCCAGGCAGTTGTGTGAGGAATATTTTGCTGAAGGTTTTGCCAATGAGCATTCACGAGCGTCACATTCTAGACCTTTGTCCTGAAGGAAGAGGTAAACACATGCTTCAACTGCCTCACTAAAAATTACAGGCCTGTTGGGCGCTCTAAGGGAAGGCTGGTATGGGTCAGGGGGGACTTCAGAAGTATCCAAGGTTTACTGGAGCACATGGATGTAAAGAGAAATACTTTATTGAAAACAAACGTTCCGACATCAAGTGCATCCAATTTCCATCTTCCATGTGTTATTTAAGGACATCTGAATAAGTGTTGAAACAAAATGCAATAGAAGCCAGACATATTTTATACACAGAACCAATCAAACTATTCAAAAACTATTGCAATAATGAGAAAGTAATATATATATATATATAATATAAGTTTAGTGATGCCAAAAACTATTGGCAGAATAAGGTATTTAAAGGTTTAAAGTTTCTTCTAAATGCATAACAATGTGTTTTTGCATTTAATGTTACTCATCAAAGCACATTGTTAGTAGCATTGAGCTTTAACAAATGTGCTGAATGCAATTCCTTACTCATAGCACATTTATAGAGCAGATGTGTGTGTTGTATCTAGCTTTGTTTGTCGTCCATGTTAACTAGCTAGCAGCGTTATTTTTCCCAACTTTTGATGTTTACAGCGCCACTCGAGTGTGTGCATGTTTGTCCTGGACACGCACACACAGGATAAAGAAAACAAGGACCCAGCTCCATAGTGCTCCAAATGCTCCATAGGGAACATATAACATACATGCAACATATTACTAATAATTTACTCATTTTGACATTGGAAGAGGCCGACCAACATAATATTGAGCTTGACCCAAGACGTAAATATATAACGCAAATGCTGCAATGGTTAAGCACAATGAAAATATGATCTTTCAGCCCTTATATCAATAATTAGTAAATATATAATATATATATATATATATATAAAATATTGTATATAGTTATTTGTAGTTGGAAGGAGGTCTGAAGTATTATTTATAGCTCAATAAATGTAGGTAAGTGCATATCATTATATTATAATTGTATTATGGTATTTCATCCTATATATGAAGCAAATACAGTATGTGACTTTGAATATTGTAACTGTATTTATTAAAAAAAAAAATGCAATTAAATGCTTCTATTAGTATTATTATACATTTTGTTTATTAATTTTTTTGCCGTCCAAAAACAATTATATCTCTTAGTTGGATATAATAATGATATACTAATTAGAAATATATACTCACAGAGTGCACAACACGTGCACTGGGATTCTCTTTCTGTCCTCCCAGTGTCTTTATCCACACCTCTCCCCTCGTCCTTCTCTGCCTTGGATTGTTTCTGTTCCAGTTTCTCTGTTCTTCTGCCAAAATTCAAGCAAGTCTTGATCAAAACAGAGCGGGTTTGTGTCTGACCAATGCAGGCCACATATGGATGCCCTCAGACTAACACATATTTTCACATTCATGATTTCATCATGTTTGTCTAGAAGCAAGACTTTAGGGAAGGAACTTATTTCTCACGCTGCCCATCTCTCACTTAAACTGTTTGGTGTTATTTTGTTAGCACATTTGCTTTTATGCAACAGCTATTATGGTTGTTTTTCCTTCTAAATTGTGAATAGAAGCTAAACATATTTACTGTTCATTACCAGCTAATTAAACTATTTTACAGACAATTCATCCCACATGACTCCCTAAAGAAATAGCAATCATTATTAATTACATTACTCAGTCATTATGCCCTAGAATCATTTATCGTACATTTATTAATTGCATTAATTGGGTCCACACAGCCTTATGTTTTCTGATTTTCAAAGACCAATACCGACTACCTCCACTAGCTGATATGGAGGCACCAATCGCACACGTTGGTTGGCTGTGATCTTTGTGGTGTTTTTCTGATGAAGGCGGCTGTGTAAATGCAGCCCCAACACAAAAAGCTTGGACAAAATAACACAGGGTCTGCAACGAAATGTGATGTCATCCGCAGTCCATTAGCCAATCAAGTATGTGCATGTATACATTTTTGGTATAAATCTATGTTACATGAACAGCCTGTTTACCCTTTCATTGTTTACAAAGAGCATAAAATGATAGTCTGTGTCAAATCTGTCCAGAGCTGTACAATTATTCCTCATAGTATTATAAACCGCTATGCTGTGTTTTGGCTTCTGATTAGCTTTCAAACTCATGGAACTATTACTCAAACCCGCCATATCTCAACGTCTCATCAGTACGTTAAACTACACGCCTCTACCAACGCAGCCTTTTGAGTTTGAGGTCCCATAATACTTCTTACTTCCAAGATTTGTCATATAAATAGACTATACCGTTTTAAATTCGGATTAACTGAGATATATTTGACGATTTGTTGGATGAGTCATAAGCACTGTACTCATATTTCGGAAATGTTTGGCTAATGTTTATGTTTATTAAGGATCCCCATTAGCTTTTGCTCTCGACAAAAGCTACTCTTCCTGGGGTCCGACACTTAAAACAATACAACAATAATACAACAATAATACGGCAACATTTAGGACATAAGTCCTGACATCATTAACAACATTAAAAACATCAATATCATCAACAACATGCGATCAAATTAAATTAAGTTAGGGTTCACAGCTCACAAGGGTACATCGTCATTAGTAGATGGCCCTTCAATCTCTTCTTGAAAGAGGCTCTGGACTCTATTTCAGTAAGGTAGTTTGGCAATGAGTTCCATTCCTTTATAGCTCTATAAGACACAGAAGATTTCAGAAGATGTGTCCTGGGTTTAGGTGCCAGTAGATGGCCTGATGTAGCTTGTCTAGTCTTATGGTCATTGGCCAAAAAATCGTATGCAGGCAGAGACGAGCTCTCTGCCTGCATACGATTTTTTGGCCAATGAAAAGCATTAAAAGTACATTTTAAGTTACAACCTATTTTTATACTCGGTAAAGTAATTCATACAGTGAAAACTGAGAGCCATCTCCCCTACCGTGAAATATGTCAACATGTATAGGAGTAACATGCCACCCACTGTCTGGAACCTTTTTGCTTTCCAATTCTCCATTTTCTTTAATAGTCTAATTATAATTTGTATCTAACAATTCACTTAATGGTTCAAAGCGCCATTGGCTTTCTGTGTGTGCATGCACATTTGTGATGTGTGAATGCATCTGCTTTTTATGAGATTTGTTGTTGTTTGTATCGTTTTATTTGCTATTTGGGGCTCTGTTCT